AAATATATATAAAATCCTCCTCTATCTGAAAAACCCCAACCCTGGCGAAGGCTAAGGGCCAAAACACGTTGGTTTTAATCTTAACAATTAAGAAGCAGTTTCATCAATGATTGCTAGTATTCATGAGTCTTGTTGTATTGTCTTGCATATCCTACCCGGTAAGAAATGTTTTGCAGATTATAGGCCTATTCTCCTAAAAATAAATAAAATGCCATAACACGACCAAATCTAAACAGCAGGTGGCAGTACTGTTACATAAATTCATTGTTTTAGGCCTGGCTTTTTCCTTCCCAAACACTAAAAGGGATTACCTCATAATCAGGGAAAGCCCTGTTCATGACGCCTTGTGTTCGATAGAGGGCTCTTCGCGGTGCCACAGATCTCAGAATACAGCAAATCGGCAGCGTCTCCTCCTGAGCTTTTCGGCTCTATAAACGCATACAAATGACATCTTTACACCGACCAGCTGATTTTTATAAGCGCACCAACTACTAGAGCTTTCTATTATTATTTTGAAGAAGAGAGAGACATAAATGTTGATGTCCACTGACAGCCAGGCTGTTGTCAATAATACTTGAGCCAAACTGCAACGACTAAAAAAGGTCCTTTGAAAGGATAGTCTGGATGGAAAACAAGGCTCCTGTTCTTCCTCAAGAAAACTGACAAGGGATAGTCTGAATCCAAGGTAAACCTGGATACATAGCATCATGTTGTTACAATGTAAATGTTACAGATTAGATGTGCATGTTGTTTGGACGCAGCTGTTACATATCGAGGCAGTCTGTGCTCTGCTTGCGTCAACGGAATGTTAATTTTGTTTTGTTTATGATGTGTTTTGCGTGTGTGATCAGCTTTTTGGCATGAAAGGGTTTGGGAAGTAGGGTATTTAACTATACTACAGTCACGTCTGTGGAGGTAGGCTGCACATACACTTACAATTCCCAGCATAGATCTTATCCGATTTAGTAGATCAGGGTTGTTTCCTTGCCCAGAGACCCTCTCCAAGGCAAACCGGCGACCAGGGACCCCATCATACCTTAGCTAACTTTTTTTCTCTTATCATCAGGTGAATGATAATGGCAATGAGAAGTAATCAACATTTAAAAATAAATAGATTTGGTAAATAGTTTTTCAGTATTTTGAACTCCCCACATTATAATTGGAAGAGGAAGTATAAACTCTAACATAGCCTAGTAGCTAGAAAGGTACACTACATTACCAAAAGTCTGTGGACACCTGTTTGTCGAACATCTCCTTCCAAAATCATGGGCATTAATATGGAGTTGGTCCCCCTTTTGCTGCTATAACAGCCTCCACTCTTCTGGGAAGGCTTTTCACTAGATGTTGGAAAATTGCTGCAGGGACTTGCTTCCATTCAGCCACAAGAGCATTAGTGAGGTCGGGCACTGATGTTGGGCGATTAGGCCTGGCTTGCAGTTGGTGTTACAATTCATTCCAAAGGTGTTCAATGGGGTTGAGGTCAGGGTTCTGTGCAGGCCAGTCAAGTTCTTCCACACCGATCTCAACAAACCATTTCTGTATGGACCTCGCTTTGTGCACGGGGCATTGTCATGCTGAAACAGGAAAGGGCCTTTCCCAAACTGTTGCCACAAAGTCTAGAATGTCATTGTATGCTGTAGCGTTAACATTTCCCTTCACTGGAACTAAGGGGCCTAGCCCGAAACATGAAAAACAGCCCCTCCTTCACCAAACTTTTACAGTTGGCACTATGCATTCGGGCAGGTAGCGTTCTCCTGGCAGCCAAACCCAGATTCATCCGTCGGACTGCCAGATCCTGAAGCGTGATTCCACTGCTCCAGAGTCCAATGGCGGCGAGCTTTACACCACTCCAGCCGATGCTTGGCATTGTGCATGGTGATCTTAGGCTTGTGTGCGGCTGCTCGGCCATGGAAACCCGTTGCTTCCAGTGGCAGTTTGGAACTCGTTAGTGAGTGTTGCAACCGAGGATAGACGATTTATACGCGCTTCAGCACTCGGCGGTCCCGTTCTGTGAGCTTGTGTTTCCTACCACTTCGCGGCTGAGATGTCGTTGCTCCTAGATGTTTCCACTTCACAATAACAGCACTTACAGTTGACCGGGGCAGCTCTAGCAGGGCAGAAATTTGACGAACTGACTTGTTGGAAAGGTGGCATCCTATGAAGGTGCCACGTTGAAAGTCACTGAGCTCTACAGTAAGGCCATTCTACTGCCAATGTTTGTCTATGGAGATTGCATGGCTGTGTGCTCGATTTTATACACCTGTCAGCAACAGGTGTGGCTGAAATAGCCGAATCCACTAATTTGAAGGTGTGTCCACATACTTTTGTATATATAGTGTAACTACAATCAAATTTTTGCTAAGAGCAGCTGTTTAGCTGTTTAGCAGGTTAAACAAAAGTTAGCCATGTGTTGGCAAAGATCTATGTCCGAGTGAAGAAAGCTTACGAGCAGTCAGCGGCCCCGCACTGGTAGCCTATTCGCAGGTGCTTTTTAAAAGTCTATGTCAGATACTCCAGTGAGTGTAATTTGCTCAATATTAGAAGTAGAGAAATAAAGTTGACATCATTAGAAATAAGATATTCTTCCTCTTTTCTGCTGTGGGTAGGTTATTCAAAATGTGTTTATTCCGTTGTTGCTAGCGATATTCATAAAAACATTGAAAAATAAATAAATAAATACTTTAAAATGTTGTGGAACCCCTGCAGTACCTTGACCCCGGTTGAACATCCCTGCAGTGGATAATGTTGGGGGACTCGTGGGACACCACCTCCATGGCAGCACTGTGAGCACACCTTTTACTGTTCAATACTCTTTGTTTATCATCATATCAGTCAGCAATTGAAGATCGGGCCAAATTAGTTTTTCTTTCTTCTTCATGTTGTTATGAATATGAATTGGCAAGCCTAATGAGCCTATGTAGGATAATGTCAACCGAATAATTCCGCTGACGTACAGTAGTGGGCATTGCTTGTATAAACCTCTGCAGGAGGTGATTAATGTTTTTGTAAATGTACAGGCTTAGTGGGCTTTGGCTTGTTCTGGCCTTATATGATGAGAACCAGTCTGAAAGAAAGTAAGGATGTGGCCCAAATGCCACTCTATTTCCTACATAGTAGTGTTACTTTTGAACAGAGCCCTATCGACCCTAGTCAAAAGTAGTGCACTGCACTATGGTGAATATGGTGCCATTTAGGAGACATGCTACAACATGGCTCTCCAACCCTGTTCCTGGAGAGCCACCTTCCTGTAGGTTTTCACTCAAATCCCAGCTGTAACTAACCTGATTCAGCTAATTGTATTTTTTATTTTTATTTCACCTTTTTTTACCAGGTAAGCCAGTTGAGAACAAGTTCTCATTTACAACTGCAACCTGGCCAAGATAAAGCAAATCAGTGCGATTAAAAACGACAATAACACAGTTACATATGGGATAAACAGAAACGTACAGTCAATAACACAATAGAAAAATAGAAAATCTGTATACAGTGTGTGCAAATGTAGTAAGTTATGGAGGTAAGGCAATAAATAGGCCATAGTGCAAAATAATTACAATTAGTATTAACACTGGAGTGATAGATGTGCAGAAGATGATGTGCAAATAGAGATACTGGGGTGCAAATGAGCAAAATAAATAACAATATGGGGATGAGGTAGTTGGGTGGGCTAATTACAGATGGGCTGTGTACAGGTGCAGTGATCGGTAAGCTGCTCTGACAACTGATGCTTAAAGTTAGTGAGGGAGATAAGTGTCTCCAGCTTCAGAGATTTTTGCAGTTCGTTCCAATCATTTGCAGCAGAGAACTGGAAGGAATGGCGGCCAAAGGAGGTGTTGGCTTTGGGGATGACCTGTGAGATATACCTGCTGGAGCGCATACTACGGGTGGGTGTTGCTATGGTGACCAATGAGCTAAGATAAGGCGGGGATTTGCCTAGCAGTGATATCAACCAGCTGATTATTAGATTCAGGGACATTAGATTTGGGTTGGAGCAAAAACCTACAGGATGGTAGCTCTCCGGGAACAGGGTTGAAGAGCCCTGGGCTAGAACATGATGAGTGGTGTTTTCCCTATAACTATTTGTCATTCTTACCAGTCCAGTCACTCACAACCAGTTGATCTTTACAAGAGGAGAAGATACAGCCTCATTGTGGGTAACAGAGTGAGCCACAGTTAATTGAACACGTTTGAGTTAAAATAGTGCACTATTTAGGGAATAGGGTGCCATTTGGGACGCACTCCATGACTCGTCGTTAACTCGTTACATCATGTCACACCAGCCAGTGAGGTAACACAGCCCCTTACCTTGTTTGGCCCAGTGGGCACACATAGCAGAGCTTCTGTGTTAGAAGGCTACTTTAGCCTCCACCGTGATCAGACAGGCCTAGTAGCTGCTTGACAGGCCTAGTAGTCTGCAGACACAGAAAAGCCTCTTGGCCCACCAGCCTAGTCTGACTGAAGGCATACTGAAGGTGCAGATGTCCAGCCAAGTCTTTGAAATAGGATTGTTACTTCAGTAGTAGCAATGACCCAAATATTGTAATAGTTAAACAATATATATATTATGTCTCTCTTTGAGGCACAGTATTTAGGTTCCGAATAGTCTGAAAAAACGACAAAGCAAAGCAGACCCATTTTTACCTCATGATCGCCTTACCTATCCACAGCTCCCATTGGGTTTGACCATACAACTACTAGGCCTATGTCATTCTTCTGTGTGCCCCCTCTCTCTGAATCCCACCTGTATCTCTCTAACAACCAGAACACAGGTCCAAAACCTAGCTCTGGTCCAGGCCGTTATGTGCGGCTTGCTGGCGCTGAAGGCTCCTAATGCTCTGGACCAGAGCTATCGAGAACCATGCTGGGTTGAGCGTGAAGGAGAGTGAAGGAGAGAGCGAGGTGCAGCTGGATTAGTGTAAACAGAGCTTGAGAATGTTTCTTTCATGAGTAGTGAGACGGGCCTGTAGGCCAGGCCAGGGTTCCAGTGCTGAATCCAGAACACTATGTGCCTGCCAGGCAGCTGGCTCCCAGTCTTCCTGCCCACAGCACAGCCCAACAGTACACTGTGCCCAGGCCAAGCCAGCCCCAGCCACACACAGAGAGGTCGGTCTGTCTGCAGACAGCAGTAACCTGCTCTCTCTTCCCAGTGCACTGCCCTCTCAGGACAGACCCGTAGATAAATAGCCCAGACCTGTCAGGAGACCGCTCATTCAGTAGAAAGCCATACGGTTGGTGTGGTTAGATGGACAGCACTGTTAGCTTTTGATGTGGTACATTCATATTGATGGTTTAGGAACTAATATTTTGTGACATCCTTAACATTATTTGGTTATGGGTGCCAAAATTAGAACAGGTTCTTCTAGCTCCTATCTCTATTAGTTATCTGAATTCTGCATCTGAGATCAGAAGTGTCAGTTCTTACTGTCAACTCCATAGCTGTGATGGTACTTCAAGGGTAAGTCTTCATAATGATTTCTGTCTGATCAATTTATGATCAGTTGCATTGATTGTATGTGTGATGATGGTGAATGGTGGCATGTGTGGTAATCCAGGAAAGGTTAAGAGATTGAATTTGTGTTCTGTTCTGCTTTTACTCTGGTATTTCTTAAGTAAACGTTGTTCTCTTAGTGAACCTTGTCCTCTCTGGTAGACTAGAAGTCATTTCAGTCACATGTCATGCCTGCAGGTCGAATGTGATGGGCTTCGTCCCTAATTTGTATTTGTTAAAAGTAATGCACTATGTAGGGAATAGTGGGCCATTTGGGACGCAACCATGGTGTCATACTTTACAAGTAAACATGGTGTGTTCGCAAAGTAAGTCCTCTAAGCATCTTAAAGATGTTTGTGTGACTGACTGAAGAAATTCAGCGGAAAGTGAGAAATCCACCCAGCCTAAACATGAGCTGCTAATATCAAGTTCAGCTTTAGCTCATTTGCACCTTGCAAACTTTTGTCTGACAGCAGGCTACATTTATATGCACTGACAGCAAAGGCTTAGCTCACTGTTCAATCTTCATTCAGTGATGAAATACACTGAACCATTCTCCATGTAAAGGTAGTGAAAACATTGCATCCCTTTATAGTCATATTGCTTAAAAACCTTTGTTTGGCCATAATGCACTATGTGTCCACATTATCCAATGGGCACAAAAGGGATTTAGTAAAGATATACATTTTCATTCCATAGTGTGTGGCCTCTTCCATCTCTAACAGTAGCCAGACAGGAAGACTGATTCACCTGCTTGCTTCACCATAACAAACACCACTAGAGTACATAGCCTATACTCTTCAGATTTGATTAGGCCCTTTTGAGAAATAAAACATTATATCAGAAAACACAAATCATTGGGGATTATGAGTGATCACTAATCCCCCTTGATCCCCAACCAAGCATTAATCTAATCTGGTAAGTGTTTGTGGCCAGCTAGCTAAGTGGATCATGTCCTGCCTAGTTAAATCAAATACATTTCATTCACATGAAATTACATTGCATCTGATAGGCTCATCACTAATGTGGCAGTAGTATATGAAGTATCTATTGATTGTAGACATGCATATATTCATGCATATGTTTGTGTTTACTGTATAGACTAATGCCACACCATTGGTATTGATTCCTGAAAGGGGATAGACTGTATAGGGTTATATGAAGGCATTTCCCTATCCCAACTTCCAATCTCTAAATACTGTGAAGTTAATTGAATACTGTGAACTTGCTATTCAGCACTCCTAGTAGCTTAACCATTGCATGTTTCCCCCCCTCACCCTTTCCCTTACTTGCAATTCCATGTTCTCAGCCTTCCTCAGTCCTCAGCATGCCTGTATCCTGCTGTGTGAATGGGGCCTTTAGGATTCAGCAGGCAGGGTGCCAGTCGTGTCTCGTGCCAACAACAGGAAACGCTGCGGTTTCCTCAGGCTGCTGTCACTTCCTTTCCTTGGCTCCCGGGTCCAGGACTCAGTAGAAGGCAATGTCGGTGTCCCAAATTGCATCCTATTCACTATTTTGTGTGCTACTTTTGACAATAGGGTTCTGGTCAAAAATAGTGCACTATATAGGGAATAGGGTGCCATTTGGGATTCAATCAATGTTTGGGGCTGGGCTATAATCTTGGGAAGGATAGAATCCCTTTCTAATGTTATCACTTCATTGTAAACAGTACTGGAGGAACGAGACATGTTGGATGAGCAGAACATGTTTGTTTAGAAATTTTGTCTGATATAGGCTGAGCACAAAGGGAGGAACAGCCATATTTCCTCTTGTGAACTGAACACATTTCCTGGCTGTGTCCCGAATGGCACCCTATTCCTTATATAGTGTACTACTTTTGACCAGACCCCTATTGGCATTGGTCAAAAGTAGTGCACTAAATAGGGAATAGGGTGCCATTTGGGATGCAACCCCTATAACACAGCCTCTCCTCTCGCCCTGGGGCCAGCCGATCACTCACTGCTAACTCACTGGCTCTCCTCTCGCCCTGGGGCCAGCCTGTCACTCACTGCTAACTCACTGGCTCTCCTCTCGCCCTGGGGCCAGCCTGTCACTCACTGCTAACTCACTGGCTCTCCTCTCGCCCTGGGGCCAGCCTGTCACTCACTGCTAACTCACTGGCTCTCCTCCCGCCCTGGGGCCTGCCTGTCACTCACTGCTAACTTACGTCCATGTGCTCTCTTTTCCTTTCCATCTCTCTCTCTCTCTCTGCCCCTCTCTCTCCTTCCATCTCTCTCTCTGCCCCTCTCTCTCCTTCCATCTCTCTCTCTCTGCCCCTCTCTCTCCTTCCATCTCTCTCTCTCTGCCCCTCTCTCTCCTTCCATCTCTCTCTCTCTCTGCCCCTCTCTCTCCTTCCATCTCTCTCTCTCTGCCCCTCTCTCTCCTTCCATCTCTCTCTCTCTGCCCCTCTCTCTCCTTCCATCTCTCTTTCCTTCCATCTCTCGCTCGCTCTCTCTCTGCCCCTCTCTCTCCTTCCATCTCTCTCTCTCATGCAGTACAGTAGTAGTGTGTAATGTGCCCAGGCAGAGCAGATGGAGCAGCGCTGTTCCTGGTGAAGGGAGGGCTGGTGATGATGTAATCAATGCAGATCTCTCCCTCCCTCATAATTTTTTTCTTTTCTTTCTTTCTTTCTTTCTTTCTTTCTTTCTTTCTTTCTTTCTTTCTTTCTTTCTTTCTTTCTTTCTTTCTTTCTTTCTTTCTTTCTTTCTTTCTTTCTTTCTGTCCCTGTCTGTCGCTCTCTATATATTTGTTCAATTCAAAATGCTTTATTGGCATGAGAAACATAGTTTATTAAGTACACCACCCCGTTCACGAAAATGATTTGCTCCTACAGACACCAATTTGGCCCCAATTACTACCCGTACACGGTGCTCCAAGCTGACCATGCACAAAACAAAGTCCAAACAAAATGCCAAAAAAACAAAACAAATTTGCCAAATAACATACTACCAAAACTACCATATAACCAACATCATCAATTAGACGAGACCCCACTGTGTTATGACCTGGCTCATAGTTCGTAACAACAAAGGGCCATGCATGACTTAAATGTAAAAAGGAATAAATGCATTAAACTAAACACTTTTTTTTTGTTTTATTCTACTTTTTTATTAAAAATAAATGCACTGTTGGTTAAGGGCTGTAAGTAAGCATTTCACTGTAATGTCTGCACCTGTTGTATTCGGCGCATGTGGCCAATAAAATTTGATTTGATTTGGACGTCTGTAGGATCAGTAGTGTATGCAGTGAGTGGAGAGGGTGTTGTATGGTGAAAACAGACCATAAAACGAAAGGTGGTGGAAGCCAGCGTGCCAGTCAGGGAAAAGAGAGTGTTGGCTGATGTGGTCACACTTTATAGCCTGCAGGCCAAGCCTGGCCAGATGCGCCACATCAGCTGACGATCCTCCCAGCTCTGCCCACTGGCCTCCTGCAACAAGCAGACTACCAAACAGGAGATCCCAGCAGACAGAGTGGGGGGACGTCACAACCTAATAAACATTGCCAAAGCCAGTGAAATAGACAATAAACAAAAGGGAAATAAACAATCTGAAATTAACAGTAAACTTTACTCACAATTTTTTTTAAAGAATGTATTATTATGTACAGTGTTGTAACAATGTGCAAATAAATATAGATTGTATTTACGACGGTGTTTGTTCTCCACTGGTTGCCCTTTTCTCATGGCAACAGGTCACAAATCTTGCTAATGTGATGTCACACTGTGGTATTTCACGTAATAGTTATGGGAGTTTATCAAGATTGGATTTGTTTTCAAATTCTTTGTGGGTCTGTGTAATCTGAGGGCAATATGGTCATACATTTGGCAGGAAGTTAGAAAGTGCAGCTCGGTTTCCACCTCATTTTGTGGGCAGTGGGCACATAGCCTGTCTTCTCTTGAGAGCCTATGGTGGCCTCTCTCGATAGCAAGGCTATGCTCACTGAGTCTGTACTATGTACATAGTCAAAGTTTTTCTTAATTTTGGGTCAGTCACAGTTGTCAGGTATTCTGTTTAGGGCCAAATAACAATATCTCTATCTCGCTCGCTCTCTATTTCGACGTCACTCTCTCTTTCAATATCTCTCTATCTTTCTCTCTCTCTCTTTTTCTATCTCTCTTAGAAGCCAGGTACAAACTAAAGAGGAACTATTAACTGACTACTCGATCACAGTATTTTATTCTAGTTTGCTGTTTCATTAACCTGAACTAGTTGTATTATTTTCTTGGTGCTGGATGTCTCACCATTGGCCTTATCAAGTGAAATACCACTGGCTGAGGTTTCTGTTCCCTTTATGTAAGAGCCACTGAAGGGGATGTGTTGTATTACTGTACAAAAGGTTTGAACTTTAGCTGAACTTTTCACTTGATTGAGGAGAAAGGACTCACTCCCTGCAGTGTTTTAGTGATTCACAAGGGGAGAGATCTCACTTGACTGTACTTGGGTTGGTCTCTGAAAAGGCAAAAGAGCATTTGCACACAGACTCGAGAGAAGAGATAAGAACACTTTTTATAATTCAAATGGTCTCTCATGAATTGCCTCTAGTGTTTTTTATCTACAGTGGGGAGAACAAGTATTTGATACACTGCCGATTTTGCAGGTTTTCCTACTTACAAAGCATGTAGAGGTCTGTAATTTTTATCATAGGTACACTTCAACTGTGAGAGACGGAATCTAAAACAAAAATCCAGAAAATCACATTGTATGATTTTTAAGTAATTCATTTGCATTTTATTGCATGACATAAGTATTTGATACATCAGAAAAGCAGAACTTAATATTTGGTACAGAAACCTTTGTTTGCAATTACAGAGATCATACGTTTCCTGTAGGTCTTGACCAAGTTTGCACACACTGCAGCAGGGATTTTGGCCCACTCCTCCATACAGACCTTCTCCAGATCCTTCAGGTTTCGGGGCTGTCGCTGGGCAATACGGACTTTCAGCTCCCTCCAAAGATGTTCTATTGGGTTCAGGTCTGGAGACTGGCTAGTCCACTCCAGGACCTTGAAATGCTTCTTACGGAGCCACTCCTTAGTTGCCTTGGCTGTGTGTTTCGGGTCGTTGTCATGCTGGAAGACCCAGCCACAACCCATCTTCAATGCTCTTACTGAGGGAAGGAGGTTGTTGGCCAAGATGTCGCGATACATGGCCCCATCCATCCTCCCCTCAATACGGCGCAGTCATCCTGTCCCCTTTGCAGAAAAGCATCCCCAAAGAATGATGTTTCCACCTCCATGCTTCACGGTTGGGATGGTGTTCTTGGGGTTGTACTCATCCTTCTTCTTCCTCCAAACACGGCGAGTGGAGTTTAGACCAAAAAGCTCTATTTTTGTCTCATCAGACCACATGACCTTCTCCCATTCCTCCTCTGGATCATCCAGATGGTCATTGGCAAACTTCAGACGGGCCTGGACATGTGCTGGCTTGAGCAGGGGGACCTTGCGTGCGCTGCAGGATTTTAATCCATGACGGTGTAGTGTGTTACTAATGGTTTTCTTTGAGACTGTGGTCCCAGCTCTCTTCAGGTCATTGACCAGGTCCTGCCGTGTAGTTCTGGGCTGATCCCTCACCTTCCTCATGATCATTTATGCCCCACGAGGTGAGATCTTGCATGGAGCCCCAGACCGAGGGTGATTGACCGTCATCTTGAACTTCTTCCATTTTCTAATAATTGCGGCAACAGTTGTTGCCTTCTTACCAAGCTGCTTGCCTATTGTCCTGTAGCCCATCCCAGCCTTGTGCAGGTCTACAATTTTATCCCCGATGTCCTTACACAGCTCTCTGGTCTTGGCCATTGTAGAGAGGTTGGAGTCTGTTTGATTGAGTGTGTGGACAGGTGTCTTTTATACAAGTAACAAATTCAAACAGGTGCAGTTAATACAGGTAATGAGTGGAGAACATGAGGGCTTCTTAAAGAAAAACTAACAGGTCTGTTTGAGCCTGAATTCTTACTTGTTGGTAGGTGATCAAATACTTATGTCATGCAATAAAATGCAAATTAATTACTTAAAAATCATACAATGTGATTTTCTGGATTTTTTTTTCACAGTTGATGTGTACCTATGATAAAAATTACAGACCTCTGCATGCTTTGTAAGTAGGAAAACCTGCAAAATCGGCAGTGTATCAAATACTTGTTCTCCCCACTGTATGTAGCTTACATTGTGTACTTAGGCTAATAAGGCTCCACCTGAGACATAGTCCAGACATCCTAGAGACAGAGACCAGTATTGGTTGTGTCTCTAGTTAACTGTGGGCCTCTGTAGCTCAGTTGGTAGAGCATGGTGCTTGCAACGCCAGGATAGTGGGTTCGATTCCAGTGACCACCCTTATGTAAAATGGATGCACGCATGACTGTAAGTCTCTTTGGATAATAGTGTCTGCTAAATGGCATATATTATACACTGCTCAAAAAAATAAAGGGAACACTTAAACAACACAATGTGACTCCAAGTCAATCACACTTCTGTGAAATCAAACTGTCCACTTAGGAAGCAACACTGATTGACACATTTGACATGCTGTTGTGCAAATGGAATAGACAACAGGTGGAAATTATAGGCAATTAGCAAGACACCCCCAATAAAGGACTGGTTTTGCAGGTGGTGACCACAGACCACTTCTCAGTTCCTATGCTTCCTGGCTGATGTTTTGGTCACTTTTGAATCCTGGCGGTGCTTTCACTCTAGTGGTAGCATGAGACTGAGTCTACAACCCACACAAGTGGCTCAGGTAGTCAGAAACAGACTCCATGAGGGTGGTATGAGGGCCCGACGTCCACAGGTGGGGGTTGTGCTTACAGCCCAACACCGTGCAGGACGTTTGGCATTTGCCAGAGAACACCAAGATTGGCAAATTCGCCACTGGCGCCCTGTGCTCTTCACAGATGAAAGCAGGTTCACACTGAGCACATGTGACAGACGTGACAGAGTCTGGAGACGCCGTGGAGAACGTTCTGCTGCCTGCAACATCCTCCAGCATGACCGGTTTGGCGGTGGGTCAGTCATGGTGTGGGGTGGCATTTCTTTGGGGGGCCGCACAGCCCTCCATGTGCTCGCCAGAGGTAGCCTGACTGCCATTAGGTACCGAGATTAGATCCTCAGACCCCTTGTGAGACCATATTCTGGTGCGGTTGGCCCTGGGTTCCTCCTAATGCAAGACAATGCTAGACCTCATGTGGCTGGAGTGTGTCAGCAGTTCCTGCAAGAGGAAGGCATTGATGCTATGGACTGGCCCGCCCGTTCCCCAGACCTGAATCCAATTGAGCACATCTGGGACATCATGTCTCGCTCCATCCACCAACGCCACGTTGCACCACAGACTGTCCAGGAGTTGGCGGATGCTTTAGTCCAGGTCTGGGAGGAGACCCTCAGGAGACCATCCGCCACCTCCATCAGGAGCATGCCCAGGCGTTGTAGGGAGGTCATACAGGCACGTGGAGGCCACACACACTACTGAGCCTCATTTTGACTTGTTTTAAGGACATTACATCAATGTTGGATCAGCCTGTAGTGTGGTTTTCCACTTTACTTTTGAGGGTGACTCCAAATCCAGACCTCCATGGGTTCATACATTTGATTTTCATCGATAATTTTTGTGTGATTTTGTTGTCGGCACATTCAACTATGTAAAGAAAAAAGTATTTAATAAGATAAAAAATGTGTTATTTTAGTATTCCCAGTGTATATAACTGGACTGTCTGCTGCACTGGGGAACTGGCTACTGTTACTAGGAGGCAGAGTTCTCAGTCTTTCCTGGTTATTCCACTGAGTTCTCAGTCTTTCCCTCTTCAAGAGAGTTCATGTAGAGCACATGTCAAACTCAAGGCCCGCGGGTGGAAAAGAAACCTCAGTAATTATCTTTTTGTTTTCTCATGATTTGGTTAGGTCTAATTGTGTTGCGCTCTCTCTCTCTCTCTCTGTCTCTGTCCAAGTTGTTCCTAGTATTCTTGCACTCCCACCAGTATCTGAGCCAGGCTGGATCTGAGAGATCATCTTGTTCTACTGTAATAATTGTCTCAGTGCTGCTTCTTCTTCCCCTGTGGAACAGACCATTATTTTCCTTTGTTGATTTCTGCTGTTCAAGCTAAGTGGATTACTCTCTCTCTCTCTCTCTCTCTCTCTCTCTCTCTCTCTCTCTCTCTCTCTCTCTCTCTCTCTCTCTCTCTCTCTCTCTCTCTCTCTCTCTCTCTCGCTTATCTTCCTTGAAGACTGTTCTTCCACACACACAACACACACCTTCCTCTCCTCTTTGAAAGCTGTGTGCTTCTTCTTGTTGTAATCCAATTATAGACACTAATTTAGGAGACCTACATTTCACTTTTCTGACAGGCCAGAGCTAGAGTTAGATTCAGAAGCCAGAGATTCTCTCTTATCTCTGTGGACTTCTACTAAGGAAATCAAAGACCGTGTCACTTCGTGTGCTGCGAAAGGGCCTTGAGATCGCTCCCATGGGGTTTAACTTTATTCAAGTTCAGTTTTATATAGCATGCATGCAGGCCCTTTAACATTGAAGAATCTCTAGTCTACAGATAAAGATATCAAGAGATTGATCCACTTTTCCTCAGTTGTGTACTTGAACACAATAATCCTAAAGATACCCGAGGTGGAACCCTTTCTAGAAATCTGTGGTTTACAGGTCAAACAAGTGCAAGCGAATAATTAAACAAAATTGGGATCCTTAACATTAAGAAAAAATCCCTAACCAAACATTTTAATCACCATTAGCAGGTCGCAGTCATCATCATAAAGGGCAAATCAAGGCAACAGCAAACATGTCTGCCCCCATGAATGATGCGGCGCCCCCCCCCCCTTGGGCCAATTGAGATATTGTCTGTGACTAGCACATTTCAGTTATTGTCTGTGACCACAGATTATCCATTATGTGGCCGCTCTATCAATGGAAAAAAAAATGACTTCAACAATGCAAGGCAGTTAGCCTGGGTAACAGTCTCTTTAGCTCACAGGTGTAAAACTCATTCCACAGAGGGCCGAGTGTCTGCGGGTTTTCGCTCCTCCCTTGTACTTGATTAATTAATTAAGGTCACTAATTAGTAAGGAACTCCCAACACCTGGTTGTCTAGGGCTTAATTGAAAGGAAAAAATAACTCCGTTATAGTGTTTTTTCTTAAAGTTGCTGGGATGTCACGTGTCATACTTATCAATACACTCGGAACAACCTAAGCACTACAAAACGTCTATTCCATCAAATAAGCCATTACATTTTTGCTAACCAAATTCGACTCTCCATGCAAAAACTCCTCGCTTGGTGAGTGAAAAAAATCTAAAAGAATCACCACCTGCTGGAGAAGACAGATTTTGGGCCCAGTTATCCCTCTCGCTTCACCTCTTCCTCTCTGGTGTGACTCACACATTTATGCTAATTACTATGCTGTAACGTTAGTAGGAGAAGAAAAGCTATTTTTTTGCTACTTTACTTTACAGAGCTGTAATGCACGAGGGAGAGCGAGAGGCTCAAAGCAGAGCCGCAGCTCAAATGTGAGTGACGAGGCGAGCATTGAGTTGGAGAGAGATAGCAACCAAGTTGACTCGTGCTGGTAGAGTAACTTATTGGTAGTTATTTATCATCTCATCTGATTACAATAGTACCTGTCTTGACTGCATCAAACCAAGAAAAGCTAGTTAAGCTAGCTTGCCAGCTAGCTAACACTTTAGCTAGGCTAATTGAGACTACATAATTTTAACTGTGCGCATTCTCCCTTCCGAATCCTACAGTAAATAACAGCAACTCCATTCAGATTATTAAATAACAGCCTACCTGTTGGCTCTTTGGTTTTGTAGCTCAGTTGGTAGAGCATGGCGCTTGCAACGGCAGGGTTGTGGGTTCGTTTCCCAAGGGGGGCCAGTATGAAAATGTATGCACTCACTAACTGTAAGTCTGCTAAATGACAAAAATGTAAATGTAAATGTAGCCTGTCCTTTTCATTAAACGTTTAGTTCTGTCATTTCAATTCCATCTTCCATTGATTAGCCACGTGGAGGCTCTAGCTAGCTCTGACTGTAGCCTAGTGGCAGTTTGATGACTTGTGATTGGATGACAACAACAAGCTACATGCGCCACTTTCGTGAAAAGCAAGAGCAGCAGCAGCGATACAATTTTCTCTCTTTGGGGGAAGCGCGATGTAGACCATCTGCATTGTGAATACACGTGGAATTGTATGCATTTTTCTTATCATGTTAACAGAAAAACTATTTTTTTTAAAGGTCAGTGTAAACGTTAAGAAAAAATGACAATTTGTCACATCCCTAATCCATTCTGTATGTGATGCCTATCTAGGCCTACACACCCAGACAAACAAACAACATCTCTCCTGGTTGGGGATGAAGGGAGAACCAGATAATTGTCCCCCACGATGAAAGCGGGGAGGGAACTGTGGATCTGTCTCCATCCATTAGTACGTTAGGAGGTTAGTGCGTTCGTACGTTAGTCATGCGTGATATCTGACAGCACTGGCCCGATTTTGACGAAACTTGCATCATTCGTGGGGGATGACATGTTTACTGTTGCTTTGTTTAACCTAGATGGATTATACTTAAAAAGAGCTTACGTAAGACTTTGATACCGACATTATGTAGCTACAGTATATGCTTGTCGGGACTGAAATGAAAGCTGTCAGTTCAATTAGATTCAGAAGACAGGTGCTTTGATGGAGATCGACACTGACTGACTGACTGCCTAAATGACTGGAGAAATGCTCACAATATTGATTTTCCACTACAGTTGTTGAGTTAAAGGGAAAATCTGGGATTCTAACAACAACAAAGCTGTCACCTTGCCACTTTTTTTGGTAAACAGCTGAAGGGATGGAGCTGGAATTAAGCTCATGAGGCATTAATAAATTAGATTCTTCAAGAATCAATGGCTATTTCTCATTAATTTAAAAGTCCAAAATGGATGTACCAATCCCAGATTGCCTCTTTAAGAGTTTTTTTTTAACTAGCAGATTCAGCCTCAGATTCTATAAATCCAGTCATTGTATTGTCAAGTATAGAATTTACAATCGAAAAGAAATTATAGCATTATGCATATCTAGAATGAGGCATATCTAGTTTATCTATTTCTCAGCAGTGTTCTCCTAGGGCTAGCAGGACAGGGACGTTGCTCTGACCCACTTGTCCAGATGGAGGGTTAAAGCAGGAGAGAGGCTGGTAACAAGCTGGTCTGGTCTACCATGCAGAGAGAGGAATCAATCCCCATTTCTGACTCACAGTAAATGAATGAGAACAAACTACTAAAATGTTCCATTTCCATACAGTCATCACGATCTTCACTAAAAATATGAGTGATCAACTAATAGCCAGCCATTATAGCATATTGACTTACCTTTCTGCATGTCAAAACACAGATTTTGTTTCTTTCCAAGCTTCGGAAGTGGCAATAACAAGAGATTAACTCCTGTAGACAATCCTAATTGGCCTAAACATAGCTGGGGTGCAATTACAGGGTGTCACTATCAATTATACAAATGGCCAGTCAGTCAGAGAGGTAGTACCCACCTCACTGTTCTCTATCTGTCACAGGATAAAGAGACAGAGAGAGAGAGAGGCAGAGAGAGAGAAAAAAAGAAATAGGGCTGTCATTCCACCTCAAAAAGCACAAGAAAGAGGATTTCAACACTCACCTTCTCAGATTGTTCTGAAATCGTTTCTGTAGTTAGAAACCGATAAGATGAGCATTCCTGCAACATTATTTTGTTGAAATATAATTTGATCTCTGAGAAATTAACCTAATTGATTACAGTATCAGTTCTCTATATCTGACAAGTAGTATGGAGCTGCTGCATGGAGTATTGCTTCTTCATCCTTTGTAATGTATACCCTGTGAATCTGGGGATGTTTTTTTTCCCCCTGTTCAGAGAAATTTGCCATTGAAGTCGCTTGCATTATTTACCATAAATGAGTGTGAAAGTACCACGTTTTGCCCAATAGATGCCGCTGTTCGTGCTACTGCCACCACACCCTTTTATCCATGTTGCTGGTGTCTTGTGTTTATTATACTGAACAAAAATATAAACACAACATGTAAAGTGTTGATCCCATGTTTCATGAGCTGAAATAAAAGATCCCAGAAATGTTCCATACGCACAAAAAGCTTATTTCTCTAAAATGTTGTGCACAAATTTGTTTACATCCCTGTTAGTCAGCATTTCTCATTTGCCAAGATAATCCATCTACCTGACAGGTGTGGCATATGAAGAAGCTGATTAAACAGCATGGTCATTACACAGGTGCACCTTGTGCTGGGGACAATAAAAGGCAACTCTAAAATGTGCAGTTTTGTCACACAACACAATGCCACAGATGTGAGTGCATACATTTTCATGTGTCCCATTCATTCTTACTGTTGTTTGTCCCATTCATTCTTACTTTTATGTGTTCCCATTCGTTCTGTTGGTAAATCTGTTTCCATTGCAAAGTGAATAATGACTTTACTGGAAGATAGGAGTCACTTAATAATGTATTCTAACATTGTGGCCAAGCAGGGCAGCCTTCATCTGTATACACACAGCATTCATTCATGTGATTATGGCAATGTTGATAAAATGATTTAGAAATTAGCGAAGGGCTGAACATAATATGTTTAATATCCTGTTCTATTGCTGTTGGAGTCAACCTGGTAGTCTATGGTCATAATGGGTTTGCTACGAAATGAAAGACTCTCTCCATCCCACCCGCTCTGAACCGTCCCTCGCTTTCTGTGTATTAATGTGATAACATCAGTTAGGATTATGTCTACCTTATTTCTGGATACATTTAGTCATATCTGTCTTATTTTCAAATTTTTATCGTAATGTCCCTCTGAGTATTATATAGTAGAAACACTAAGACTGAGTCCCAAATGGCACCTTATTCCCTATATAGTGCACTACTTTTAATCAGGGCCCTAACTATGGTTGCATCCCAAATGGCATCCTATTCCCTACAAAGTGCAACATTTTTGACCAGAGCCCTGTGGGCCCTGGACAAAAATAGTGTACTGTATAGGGAATAGGGTTCAATTTGGTACGAAGGCACTATGAGACATGTTGTCTGGAGTGATATCCATATAACACGTATTTTCTCATCTGTACTGTGTTTGAAGGAAAAGGTTGTTGTAATGACACTTTGTGGAGGATGTGATATGCCATGTGTCCATGTGTCATCAACATGTTCCTTTTTATAGTTTCAGACATTCATACACGGTCACATACTCTCACTCATGTTCCTAATATTAGAGTGGTGGGGGTGGGAGGGGGGTCTGGCTGTTGTTATTTTGGTCATCCACACACAAACACACTCCTCCAGGAGGTCCTCCTACATTACCTCTAGTGACCGTGCACCAAGTCCTTCAGTTCCATCTGTCTCCAACCCTGTCTCCACACTACCAGTACCAATCCACATGAATCACCTTAGGGTATAAAAGAGAACTCACTAGCTGTGTAGTCTAGTTACAGTAGTGGCGCATGGCTCTGTGGAAAGCAAGCTACACTCATTTCCATCTTTGTTCGTCAATAGGAACTTTGGACCATTGAGGCTTGAACTTGTCCCTGCTTTCATAACCCCCTGTGGTTCCAGTTCCACGGTAGCTTGTCCCTGCTTTCATAACCCCCTGTGGTTCCAGTTCCACGGTAGCTTGGTCCTGCTTTCATAACCTCCTGTGGTTCCAGTTCCACTGTAGCTTGGTCCTGCTTTCATAACCCCCTGTGGTTCCAGTTCCACGGTAGCTTGGTCCTGCTTTCATAACCCCCTGTGGTTCCAGTTCCACTGTAGCTTGTCCCTGCTTTCATAACCCCCTGTGGTTCCAGTTCCACGGTAGCTTGGTCGTTTCAGGGCTCAACACAGTCATGGTGCCTGGCCAGTCAATTCACAAAGTCCCTCTACTGTGAAGTGAGAGGAACGTGTGGTATATTTGAATAACGCTTCTCACATTCACTCACTCTTGGTTGAAATGATGTCTCTGAAAATGAAGTCTCTCTCTCCCTCTCTCTTGGAACTGTGTGGAGTGGAGAGAGGTCTGGTCTGTGCTGTACGTTCTGAACAGCTGTAGTGTTCTGTAGAGGCTTGGTCTGTGCTGTACTGTTCTGACCAGCTGTAGTGTTCTGTAGAGGCTGGTCTGTGCTGGTACTGTAATGAACAGCTGTAGTGTTCTGTAGCGGCTGGTCTGTGCTGTACTGTAATGAACAGCTGTAGTGTTCTGTAGAGGCTGGTCTGTGCTGTACTGTAATGAGCAGCTGTAGTGTTCTGGTAGAGGCTGGTCTGTACTGTAACTGTAATGAACAGCTGTAGTGTTTCTGTAGAGGCTGGTCTGGTGCTGTACTGTATGAACAGCTGTAGTGTTCTGTAGAGGCTGGGTCTGTGCTGTACTGTAATGAACAGCTGTAGTGTTCTGTAGAGGCTGGTCTGTGCTGTACTGTAATGAACAGCTGTAGTGTTCTGTAGAGGCTGGTCCTGTGCTGTACTGTAATGAACAGCTGTAGTGTTCTGTAGAGGCTGGTCTGTTACTGTACTGTAATGAACAGCTGTAGTGTTCTGTAGAGGCTGGTCTGTGCTGTACTGTAATGAACAGCTGTAGTGTTCTGTAGAGGCTGGTCTGTGCTGTACGGTAATGAACAGCTGTAGTGTTCTGTAGAGGGCTGGTCTGTGCTGTACTGTAATGAACAGCTGTAGTGTTCTGTAGAGGCTGGTCTGTGCTGTACGTAATGAACAGCTGTAGTGGTTCTGTAGAGGATGGTCTGTGCTGTACTGTTCTGAACAGCTGTAGTGTTCTGTAAGCGGTCTGGTGCTGTACTGTTCTGAACAGCTGTAGTGTTCTGTAGAGGCTTCGTCGTACGAAATAAACGCTGTAGGTTCGAGAGGCTGGTCGTCTGTACTGTTTGAACACTGTATGTTTTTAAGCGGTCGGTGCTGTACGTTAAACAGCTTAGTGTCTGTAAGGCTGGTCTTGCTGCGGGTTTGAAACCTGAGTGTTTTTAAGGGGTCGTGCTGTACGAATAACCTTATTGTTTGTAGGGGCGGGCTGTGCTGTCCCTGAAAAAGTGTTGGGGTTGGATGGTTTTGTACGAAAGCCATTTAGGGGAAAGTTGTCTGGTTAAACTTAAAAACGTATTTTTATCTGTCTGTTTTGAAATGTTTTTTGTAATGCTTTTTTTGGTTGGGGTTTTGAAAGGGCGGTCTGTGCTTAGTTCCGTTATTTTTGAGACTTTTTTACGTACAAAATTTTGTTTTTTAGGGTGGGGGTGGGAAAATGTCTGGGGGTTGTTTATTTTGCTCCCAATTTTTAAAAATTTTTGGAAGGGGTTTAATTTCCTTGGAAACCGGGGAACTTCCCCTTATTTACCTGTATTTTTTAGATTTTGATTGGGGGTTTGGAAAAAAAAAATTTGGGGTCCTTTACAATATGGGGCAGTCTTGGAAACCCAATAACACAAAATTTTCTTTCCAAATTAAACTTGGGTTTAAAAGGGTTGTTGTTGCCTTTGTTTATACCCCTTTTCCAGTTCCAACTTTTCCCTTTTTTGTTTCAAACCCCCGGGTTCCATTCCAATTTGTCCTTTTAAACCCCTTTTTTTAGTTCCCGTTGTTTTTTTTCATAACCCCCTTTTCCAGTTCCCACAACTTGGCCTGCCACCCCCTTTTTTCCCGCCCCCGGGTCCCCCCTAACCCCCCTGTGGTTATTCCCACGGTAGCTTTTCCCTGCTTTCAAACCCCCCTTTTTTTTCCATTTTCCACAAACTTGCCCCTGCTTTATCCCCCCTGGGGTTCCAGTTCCACTTAGCTTGCCCCTTTTTAAATTTAACCCCCTTGTGGCCTTTTCCCAAACGTACTTTTCCCTGCTTTCAAAACCCCCCTGGGGGTTCCATTCCACTGCTTGTCCCTGCTTTAAAACCCCCCTGTGGTTCCAGTTCCACGGTCTGCCCCTGTTTTTCATCCCCCCTGTGGTTCCATTTCCTGAAAGTTGGCCCCGCTTTCATAACCCTTGTGGTTCCATTCCCCCGGGTAGTTTGCCCCTGTTTTCAAACCCCGGCCAATTGGTAGTTTCCTTTTTAAACCCCGGGTGGTTTTTTGTGTTGTCCTGCTTTCAAAACCCCCCTGTGGTTCCAGTTCCAGGGGCTGGCCCCTTTTTCAAACCCCCTGGGTTTTCCCTTTTCCCCGGTATTGTCCCTGCTTTCATAACCCCCTGGGGTTTTCCAGTTCCCTAGCTGCCCTGTTTTTCAAAACCCCCCTGTTTTCCCATTTCCCCACGGAGTTTGTCCCCTTTCAAAACCCCTTTGGTTCCGTTCCAGGGTAGCTTGCCCCTGCTTTCATAACCCCCTGTGGTTCCAGTTCCACGTGTTTGTCCTGCTTTCAACCCCCTGTGGTTTCCAGTTCCACTGTGTTTTCCCCTGTTTTCATAACCCCTTTTGGTTTCCATTCCAGGGTACTTGCCCCCTTGTTTTCAAAACCCCCCTTGGGGTTTCCAGTTTCACTTAGCTGCCCCTTTTTAAATAACCCCCTTGGTTCCATTCCACTTTAGCTTTTCTGTTTTTAAAACCCCCCTTTTGGTTTCCAGTTCCACGTATTTGGCCTTTTCACCCCCCTGGGGGGCCATTTCAATTAACTTCCCTCCAAATGTAAATGGGGGCGTGGGGTTTTGAAAAACCTTTTCCATTCCCACTCTTTGGTTAAATGTGGTTCGAAAAAAATTTTCCCTTCCCTTTCAACTTTTTGGGGTAGAAAAAAGGGGGACGTGCTTACTGTTTGAACCTTGGGGTTCTTTTAGGGGCGGCTTGGGTATGTTCGGGCAGCTTAAAATTTCTGTAGAAGGGGGGTTTTTTGAAACTTTCTAACATTATTTTTGGGGGTGGTTTGGATTTTCTGAAATGATTTCTTCCCTCTTCTGAACTTTTTAAAAAGTGGGAGAGGCTGGCTGGTGTATGTTAAAACAGTGTAGTGTTCGTAGAGGCTGGTCGTGCGTACTGTTTAAACAGCTGAGTGTTTGTAGAGGCTGGTCTGTCTGTACTGTTCTAACAGCTTAGTGTTTTTTTTGGGGCTGGTCTGTGCTGTACTGTTCAAACAGCTGTAGGTTTGTAAGGCTGGTCTTGCTTACTGTTCTGACACGTAGTGTTCTGTAAGGCGGGTCTTGCTGTACTGAAATAAAACACTGAGTGTTTTTAGGGTGGTCTGTGCTGTACTGTAATAAACGCTGTAGGGTTTTTTAGAGGCGGTTGTGCTGTACTGTTTGAACAGCTGTAGTGTTTGTAGAGGGGGTCTGTGTTTCTTTGAACCTGAGTTTCTGAGAGGCGGGTTGTGCTGTATGTTCTAACACGTGTGTTTTTAGAGTTGGTCTGTGCTGTACTGTAATAAACTGTTGTTCTTGACTGGTCTTTGTACTTAATGAACACTTAGGTTCGTAGAGGCTGGTCGTGCTGTACTTTAAAAACTGTAGTGTTTTTTTAGAGGCGGTCTGCTGCGTAATGAACAGCTGTATTTCTGAAGGGGGTTTTCTGTACTGTTAAACAGTGAGTGTTTTAGAGGGGGTTGTGTGTACTGTTTTGAACAGCTTAGTGTTCTGTAGGGGCTGGTCTGTCGTACTGTTTTGAACAGCTGTATGTTTCTTAAGGCTGGTTGTGCTGTCCTGTTGAAACTGAGTTTTCTGTAGAGGCTGGCTGTGCTGTATGTAATAAAACCTGTATTTTTCTGTGAGGCTTCTGTTGTCTGAAAGGGCCAGCTGTAGGGGTTCTGTAGAGGCTGGTCTGTGCTTCCTTCTGAACATGTAGTGTTCTTAGAGGCGGGTTTTCTGTACTTTTGAAACAGCTGTATTTCTGTGAGCGGTCTGTGCTGAAACTTTTCTAAACACTGTGGGGTTTTCGTAACGGTCTGTCTACTTTTAAGAACATGTGTTTGAGAGGCTGGTCTGTTTTTGTCTGTTTTCAGCTGTAGTGTTCTGTAGGGGTTTGGTTTTTTGCGTATTTTTTGTATAACCCGCTGTATTTTTCTTGGGTGGCTGTGCTTCTGTTTGACGCTGTAGTTTTCTGTAAAGGTGGTCTTCTGTACGTAATGAAATTGTATTTCTTGAGGCTGGCTGTGCTGTACTGTTGAACATGTAGTGTTCGTAGAGGCTGTTGTGCTGTACTTTTTAAAACAGCTGTGGGTTTTCTTTAAGGCGGCCCCTGGCGTACTGTAATAACACTGTGGTTTTTTAAAGAGGGGTCTGTCTGTAATGAACAGCTGTAGTTTTTCTGTAAGGGGGGCTTGTGTACTGTTTACACTGTATTTTCTTGGGAGGCGGGTCGTGCGTACTTTTAAAACGGGCTGTGTTTCGCCGAGGCTGGCTGGGGCTGTCTTTTTCTGAACAGTTTTTATTTTCTGAAAGGCTGGTCTGTGCTTACTGTTCAAACAGCTGTAGTGTTCTGTAGAGGCTGGTCTGGGTACGTAATAAACGCTGAGTTTCTGGGGGCTGGTCCCGTGCTGTATGTTTTAACACCTGTATTTTCTTTAGAGGCTTCTGTGCTGTATGTTCTGAACGCTGTTTTCGTAGAGGCTGGCTGTGCTTACTGTAATGAACAGCTTTTTTCTTAAGGCTGGTCGGGCTGTACTGTAATAAAACGCGTAAGTGTTTGTAAGGTTGGTCGTGCTGTCTGTTGAACGCTTAGTGTTCTGTAGAGGCGGGTCTTGCTTACTGTTAAACGCTGTAGTTTCGTAGAGGCTGGTCGTGCTGTACTGTAATGAACAGCTGAAAGGGTTCGTAAGCGGGTCGTGCTGTCGTAATAACAGCTGAGTGTTCTGTAGGGGCTGGTCTGTCTGTATTTCAAACAGCGTAGGTTCTGTAGAGGCGGGTCTGTCTTTGTAATGAACAGCTGTTTTTTAAGGGGGTTTTCTGTTAAAAAAGGGTGTTCTGTTGTTTTGGTTATTTCTAACAGCTTATGTTCGAGAGGTGGTCGTCTTACGTTAAAACACTGTAGTTTTCGTAAGGTGGCGTGCTTTACTGTAATGAACAGCTGTGTTTTCTGTGAGGTGGTCGTGCTGTACTTTAAAAAACAGCTGTAGTGTTCTGTGAGGCTGGTCTGGCTGTACTGAAATAACAGCGTTTGTTCTTAAGGCTGGTCGTGCTCGTAAACACTTATTTTCTGTGAGGCTGGTCCGAAATTAAGAACAGCTGTAGTGTTCTGTAGAGGCGGTTCTGTATGTAATAACAGCTGTAGTGTTCTGAGGGCTGGCCCCTGTGCTGTACTGTTAAACAGCTTAGTGTTCTGTAGAGGGGGGTCTGTACTTTTAAAAAAACAGCTGTATGTTGTAGGGGTTTGGGGGATGAATGAAAGTGGGGGAAGGTTTTTTCTTCTGTTTCCTTTGTTTTTGGGGGGGTCTGTCGGTACTGAAATAACAGCTGTATTTTTCCAGAGGCGGTCTGTGTGTATGTAATGAACGCTGAGTGTTCTTAAAGGGGGCTGTCTTCGGGACTGTAAGACAGCTGTAGTGTTCTATAGAGTTTGGGTCTGTGCTGTACTGTTGAACACTGTAGTGTTCTGTAAGGCTGGTTTGTGCTGAAATAATGAACCTGAGTTTTGGGGCGGGTCTTGCTGTACTGTTAAACAGTGTAGGTTTTTAGGGGCGGTCGTGTTTTACTGTTTGAACACTGTAGTTTTCTGTAGAGGCGGTCTTCTGTACGAATGAACGCTGTAGTTTCTGAGAGGCGGGGTTCTTGCTGTACTGTTTAACACTTAGGTTTTTAGAGCGGGGTCTGGCTTATGAAATGACATGTGTGTTCTGTAGAGGCGGTCGTACTGTACTGTAATAAAGCTGTGGGGTTTCTGTAGGGCGGGTCTGTGTTTTACTGTTAAACACTTGGTTCTGAGAGCTGGTCTGTGCGTCTTATGAAAACTGTAGTGTTCTGTAAGGCGGTCTGGTCGGTATGTTGAACTGTTGTGTTTTCTGTAAGGCTGGTTGTGCTGTAGTTGGAACAGCTTAGTTTTTCTTAGAGGCTGGTCTGGCTGTACTGTTTTGCACGGGGTTTTTCTGTAGAGGCTGTCGTGCTGCTTTTCTGAACAGCTGTATTTTTTCTTAGAGGGGTCTTTGTTTTGTAATGAACAGCTTAGGGTTCGTAGGGGCTGGTCGTGCTTACTTTTGGGCCACTGTGGGTTTTCGTAGAGGCTGGTCTGTGCTTACTTTTTGAACGCTTTTGTTTTTTAGAGGTGGTCTGTAACTGTAAGAAAGCTTGTAGTTTCTGTAGAGGCGGTTTGTGCGTACTTTTTCTGAACAGCTTGGGTTTTCTGTAGAGGGGGTCGTGCGTAGGAATGAACGTGTAGTTCTAGGGGCGGGGTTTTGGTTTAAAAGTTTTAACCTGTAGTGTTCTGTGAGGCGGGGGTCTTCTGCTGTTTAAACAGCTGTGTGTCTTAGGGCGGGTCTGTGCTTACTGTTAAACACTGTATTTTAAAGAGGCTGGTCTGTGTTACTTTAATGAACACTGTAGTTCTTAGGGGCGGGGGCTGGCTGTACTTATGAACAGCTGTATGTTTGTAGAGGCGGTCGGCGTACTTTCTAAACAGCTTAGTGTTCGTAAGGCTGGTCTGTGCTGTCTGTAATACGCTGTATTGTTCAGGGGTGGTTGTGTGTACTTTTTAAAAACGCTGTAGTGTTTTAAGGCGTCTGTGCTTACTGTTTGAACCTGTAGTGTTCTGAAGGCGGGTCGGGCTGTCTGTAATGAACGCGTGTTTCTGAGAGGCTGGTCTTGCGTACTTTTTAAACAGTGTGGTTTTATGACGGGTCTGTGCGAAATGAAAATGAACAGCTTTGTTTGTAAGGGGGGCGGTATTACTGAAAGACGGTAGTTTTTCTGTAAGGCTGGTCTTGGGGGCTGTATGTTGAACGCTTTAGGTTCTTAGAGGCGGGTTTGGGTTTTTAAACTGTTGAACAGTGTAGTTTTTGTAGAGGGGGTGGTTGTTTATTAAATAAAAAGTTAGTTTTCTGTAGGGCTGGTCTGGGCTTCCCTGTTCAAACCTGTTGTTCTTAAGGGGTTTTTCTTATTTTCAAACGTGTGTGTTTTCTTGGGGGTTTTTCTTTCTTTGTAGTTTTTTTAAAGGGGCTGGTCTTGCTGTATGTAATGAACACTGTATGTTTGTAGACGGTCTTGCTTATGTAATGGCCAGCTGTATGTTCTGTAAGGCTGGTCGTGCTGTACTCTTTCTAAACCAGCTGTATGTTCGTGAGGCTGGTCTGACTGAAATGACAGCTGTCGTTTTAGGGGCTGGTCTGTGCTGTATGTTCTGAACAGCTTAGGTTTTTTTAGAGGCGGGTCTTGTGTCTGTAAAAACACGAGATTCTGCGAGGCTGGCTGGCTGTACTTTTCTGAACAGCGGTAGGTTCTGGGTAGGGGCTGGTCTGTGGTACTTTCTGAACAGCGTATTTTCTGTAGAGGGGGTCTGTCTGTACGAAATGCAGTGTAGTGTTTATAGAGGCTGTCTGTGCTAACGTGAAGCGTGGGTTTTTTTAGAGGCTGGTCTGTGCTGTCTGAAAGGGAACCCGCTGTAGTTTTTGAAAGGGCTGGTCGGTGCTGTCTTTTTCTGACAGCTGTTGTTCTTAGAGGCGGTCTGTGCTGTACTGTAATCAGCTGTGTTTTCGTAAGGGGTCTGTACTTTTGTAATGAACAGTTTATGTTCGTAGGGGCTGGTCTGTTGTACTGTAGAACAGCTGAGGTTCTGTAGAGGGGGCTGGCTGTACGTAATGAACATGTATGTTCTGTAAGGCGGTCTGTATGTACGTAATAACCTGTAGTGTTCTGTAAGGTGGCTGTGCTTTTTTTCTGAACACTTGTGTTTGTAAGGCGGGTCTTGCTGTCGTTCGAACAGCTGTAGTTTTGTAGGTGGTCTGTGCGGTTCTGTTGAACGTTAGTTTCGTAGAGGCGGGTCTGTCTGTACGAAATGAACGCTGTGTTTCGTAGGGGCTGGTCGTGTTGTACTGTAATGGCCAGCTGTATGTTCTGTAGAGGCTGGTCTGTGCTGTACTCTTTCTGAACAGCTGTAGTGTTCTGTAGAGGCTGGTCTGTACTGTAATGAACAGCTGTAGCGTTCTGTAGAGGCTGGTCTGTGCTGTACTGTTCTGAACAGCTGTAGTGTTCTGTAGAGGCTGGTCTGTGCTGTACTGTAATGAACAGCTGTAGTATTCTGCAGAGGCTGGTCTGTGCTGTACTGTTCTGAACAGCTGTAGTGTTCTGTAGAGGCTGGTCTGTGCTATACTGTAATGAACAGCTGTAGTGTTCTGTAGAGGCTGGTCTGTGCTGTAGTGTTCTGTAAAGACTGGTCATGGCTCACATCAACAGCATAATCCCAGAAACCCTAGACCCACTCCAATTTGCATACCGCCCCAACAGATCCACAGATGATGCAATCTCTATCGCACTCCACACTGCCCTTTCCCACCTGGACAAGAGGAACACCTACGTGAGAATGCTATTCATTGACTACAGCTCAGCATTCAACACCATAGTGCCCTCAAAGCTCATCACTAAGCTAAGGATCCTGGGACTAAACACCTCCCTCTGCAACTGGATCCTGGACTTCCTGACGGGCCGCCCCCAGGTGGTAAGGGTAGGTAACAACACATCTGCCACACTGATCCTCAACACGGGGGCCCCTCAGGGGTGCGTGCTCAGTCCCCTCCTGTACTCTCTGTTCACCCATGACTGCATGGCCAGGCACGACTCCAACACCATCATTAAGTTTGCCGACGACACAACAGTGGTAGGCCTGATCACCGACAACGATGAGACAGCCTATAGGGAGGAGGTCAGAGATCTGGCCGTGTGGTGCCAGGACAACAACCTCTCCCTCAACGTGACCAAGACAAAGGAGATGATTGTGGACTACAGGAAAAAAAAAGAGGACTGAGCACGCCCCCATTCTCATCGACGGGGCTGTAGTGGAACAGGTTGAGAGCTTCAAGTTCCTTGGTGTCCACATCACCAACGAACTATCATGGTCCAAACACACCAAGACAGTCGTGAAGAGGGCACGACAAAGCCTATTCCCCCTCAGGAGACTAAAAAGATTTGGCATGGGTCCTCAGATCCTCAAAAAATTCTACAGCTGCACCATCGAGAGCATCCTGACTGGTTGCATCACCGCCTGGTATGGCAACTGCTTGGCCTCTGACCGCAAGGCACTACAGAGGGTAGTGCGTACGGCCCAGTACATCACTGGGGCAAAGCTCCCTGCCATCCAGGACCTCTATACCAGGCGGTGTCAGAGGAAGGCCCTCAAAATTGTCAAAGACTCCAGTCACCCTAGTCATAGACTGTTCTCTCTGCTACCGCACGGCAAGCGGTACCGGAGTGCCAAGTCTAGGTCCAAAAGACTTCTCAACAGCTTCTACCCCCAAGCCATAAGACTCCTGAACAGCTAATCATGGCTACCCGGACTATTTGCACTGCCCCCCCACCCCATCCTTTTTACGCTGCTGCTACTCTGTTAAGTATTTATGCATAGTCACTTTAACTCTACCCACATGTACATATTGCCTCAACTGCCTCAACTGGCCGGTGCCCCCGCACGTTTACTATGCAACGGTACCCCCCTGTATATATAGCCTCCCTACTGTCACTTTATTCTATTGTATATATAGCCTCCCTACTGTCACTTTATTTTTTACTTCTGCTCTTTTTTTTCTCAACACTTTTTTGTTGTTGTTTTATTCTTACTTTTTTGTTTAAAATAAATGCACTGTTGGTTAAGGGCTGTAAGTAAGCATTTCACTGTAATGTCTGCACCTGTTGTATTCGGCGCATGTGACCAATAAAATTTGATTTGATTTGATTTGATTTGCTGTACTGTAATGAACAGCTGTAGTGTTCTGTAGAGGCTGGTCTGTGCTGTACTGTAATGAACAGCTGTAGTGTTCTGTAGAGGCTGGTCTGTGCTGTACTGTTCTGAACAGCTGTAGTGTTCTGTAGAGGCTGGTCTGTGCTGTACTGTAATGAACAGCTGTAGTGTTCTGTAGAGGCTGGTCTGTGCTGTACTGTAATGAACAGCTGTAGTGTTCTGTAGAGGCTGGTCTGTGCTGTACTGTAATGAACAGCTGTAGTGTTCTGTAGAGGCTGGTCTGTGCTGTACTGTAATGAACAGCTGTAGTGTTCTGTAGAGGCTGGTCTGTACTGTAATGAACAGCTGTAGTGTTCTGTAGAGGCTGGTCTGTGCTGTACTGTAATGAACAGCTGTAGTGTTCTGTAGAGGCTGGTCTGTGCTGTACTGTTCTGAACAGCTGTAGTGTTCTGTAGAGGCTGGTCTGTACTGTACTGTAATGAACAGCTGTAGTGTTCCGTAGAGGCTGGTCTGTGCTGTACTGTAATGAACAGCTGTAGTGTTCTATAGAGGCTGGTCTGTACTGTAATGAACAGCTGTAGTGTTCTATAGAGGCTGGTCTGTGCTGTACTGTAATGAACAGCTGTAGTGTTCTGTAGAGGCTGGTCTGTGCTGTACTGTAATGAACAGCTGTAGTGTTCTGTAGAGGCTGGTCTGTGCTGTACTGTAATGAACAGCTGTAGTGTTCTGTAGAGGCTGGTCTGTGCTGTACTGTAATGAACAGCTGTAGTGTTCTGTAGAGGCTGGTCTGTACTGTACTGTAATGAACAGCTGTAGTGTTCTGTAGAGGCTGGTCTGTACTGTACTGTTCTGAAAAGTCAGTCAGAGAGGTAGTACCCACCTCACTGTTCTCTATCTGTCACAGGATAAAGAGACAGAGAGAGAGAGGCAGAGGGAGAGAAAAAAAGAGATAGGGCTGTCATTCCACCTCAAAAAGAACAAGAAAGAGGATTTCAACACTCACCTTCTCAGATTGTTCTGAAATCGTTTCTGTAGTTAGAAACATTATTTTGTTGAAATATAATTTGATCTCTGAGAAATTAACCTAATTGATTACAGTATCAGTTCTCTATATCTGACAAGTAGTATGGAGCTGCTGCATGGAGTATTGCTTCTTCATCCTTTGTAATGTATACCCTGTGAATCTGGGGATGTTTTTTTTCCCCCTGTTCAGAGAAATTTGCCATTGAAGTCGCTTGCATTATTTACCATAAATGAGTGTGAAAGTACCACGTTTTGCCCAATAGATGCCGCTGTTCGTGCTACTGCCACCACACCCTTTTATCCATGTTGCTGGTGTCTTGTGTTTATTATACTGAACAAAAATATAAACACAACATGTAAAGTGTTGATCCCATGTTTCATGAGCTGAAATAAAAGATCTCAGAAATGTTCCATACGCACAAAAAGCTTATTTCTCTAAAATGTTGTGCACAAATTTGTTTACATCCCTGTTAGTCAGCATTTCTTATTTGCCAAGATAATCCATCTACCTGACAGGTGTGGCATATGAAGAAGCTGATTAAACAGCATGGTCATTACACAGGTGCACCTTGTGCTGGGGACAATAAAAGGCAACTCTAAAATGTGCAGTTTTGTTACACAACACAATGCCACAGATGTGAGTGCATACATTTTCATGTGTCCCATTCATTCTTACTGTTATGTGTTCCCATTCGTTCTGTTGGTAAATCTGTTTCCTTTGCAAAGTGAATAATGACTTTACTGGAAGACAGGAGTCACGTAATAATGTATTCTAACATTGTGGCCAAGCAGGGCAGCCTTCATCTGTATACACACAGCATTCATTCATGTGATTATGGCAATGTTGATAAAATGATTTAGAAATTAGCGAAGGGCTGAACATAATATGTTTAATATCCTGTTCTATTGCTGTTGGAGTCAACCTGGTAGTCTATGGTCATAATGGGTTTGCTACGAAATGAAAGACTCTCTCCATCCCACCCGCTCTGAACCGTCCCTCGCTTTCTGTGTATTAATGTGATAACATCAGTTAGGATTATGTCTACCTTATTTCTGGATACATTTAGTCATATCTGACTTATTTTCAAATTTTTATCGTAATGTCCCTCTGAGTATTATATAGTAGAAACACTAAGACTGAGTCCCAAATGGCACCTTATTCCCTATATAGTGCACTACTTTTAATCAGGGCCCTAACTATGGTTGCATCCCAAATGGCATCCTATTCCCTACAAAGTGCAAAATTTTTGACCAGAGCCCTGTGGGCCCTGGACAAAAATAGTGTACTGTATAGGGAATAGGGTTCCATTTGGTACGAAGGCACTATGAGACATGTTGTCTGGAGTGATATCCATATAACACGTATTTTCTCATCTGTACTGTGTTTGAAGGAAAAGGTTGTTGTAATGACACTTTGTGGAGGATGTGATATGCCATGTGTCTATGTGTCATCAACATGTTCCTTTTTATAGTTTCAGACATTCATACACAGTCACATACTCTCACTCATGTTCCTAATATTAGAGTGGTGGGGGTGGGAGGGGGGTCTGGCTGTTGTTATTTTGGTCATCCACACACAAACACACTCCTCCAGGAGGTCCTCCTACATTACCTCTAGTGACCGTGCACCAAGTCCTTCAGTTCCATCTGTCTCCAACCCTGTCTCCACACTACCAGTACCAATCCACATGAATCACCTTAGGGTATAAAAGAGAACTCACTAGCTGTGTAGTCTAGTTACAGTAGTGGCGCATGGCTCTGTGGAAAGCAAGCTACACTCATTTCCATCTTTGTTCGTCAATAGGAACTTTGGACCGTTGAGGCTTGAACTTGTCCCTGCTTTCATAACCCCCTGTGGTTCCAGTTCCACGGTAGCTTGTCCCTGCTTTCATAACCCCCTGTGGTTCCAGTTCCACGTTAGCTTGTCCCTGCTTTCATAACCCCTTGTGGTTCCAGTTTCACGTTAGCTTGTCCCTGCTTTCATAACCCCCTGTGGTTCCAGTTCCACTGTAGCTTGTCCCTGCTTTCATAACCCCCTGTGGTTCCAGTTCCACGGTAGCTTGTCCCTGCTTTCATAACCCCCTGTGGTTCCAGTTCCACAGTACCTTGGCCGTTTCAGGGCTCAACACAGTCATGGTGCCTGGCCAGTCAATTCACAACTTCCCTCTACTGTGAAGTGAGAGGAACGTGTGGTATATTTGAATAACGCTTCTCACATTCACTCACTCTTGGTTGAAATGATGTCTCTGAAATGAAGTCTCTCTCTCCCTCTCTCTGGAACTGTGTGGAGTGGAGAGAGGCTGGACTGTGCTGTACTGTAATGAACAGCTGTAGTGTTCTGTAGAGGCTGGACTGTGCTGTACTGTAATGAACAGCTATAGTGTTCTGTAGAGGCTGGTCTGTGCTGTACTGTAATGAACAGCTGTAGTGTTCTGTAGAGGCTGGTCTGTGCTGTACTGTAATGAACAGCTGTAGTGTTCAGTAGAGGCTGGTCTGTGCTGTACTGTAATGAACAGCTGTAGTGTTCTGTAGAGGCTGGTCTGTGCTGTACTGTAATGAACAGCTGTAGTGTTCTGTAGAGGCTGGTCTGTGCTGTACTGTAATGAACAGCTGTAGTGTTCTGTAGAGGCTGGTCTGTGCTGTACTGTAATGAACAGCTGTAGTGTTCTGTAGAGGCTGGTCTGTGCTGTACTGTAATGAACAGCTGTAGTGTTCTGTAGAGGCTGGTCTGTGCTGTACTGTTCTGAACAGCTGTAGTGTTCTGTAGAGGCTGGTCTGTGCTGTACTGTAATGAACAGCTGTAGTGTTCTGTAGAGGCTGGTCTGTGCTGTACTGTAATGAACAGCTATAGTGTTCTGTAGAGGCTGGTCTGTGCTGTACTGTAATGAACAGCTGTAGTGTTCTGTAGAGGCTGGTCTGTGCTGTACTGTTCTGAACAGCTGTAGTGTTCTGTAGAGGCTGGTCTGTACTGTACTGTAATGAACAGCTGTAGTGTTCTGTAGAGGCTGGTCTGTGCTGTACTGTAATGAACAGCTGTAGTGTTCTGTAGAGGCTGGTCTGTGCTGTACTGTAATGAACAGCTGTAGTGTTCTGTAGAGGCTGGTCTGTGCTGTACTGTTCTGAACAGCTGTAGTGTTCTATAGAGGCTGGTCTGTGCTGTACTGTAATGAACAGCTGTAGTGTTCTGTAGAGGCTGGTCTGTGCTGTACTGTAATGAACAGCTGTAGTGTTCTGTAGAGGCTGGTCTGTGCTGTACTGTTCTGAACAGCTGTAGTGTTCTGTAGAGGCTGTAAGCTCTTACGTGGAGGGGGAGAGGGAGAGGGAGGGGGAACGCTCTTAGTTATATGGGCTCCGCAAAACTGTTCACTCTCAAAAGCAGCAACTAAGGATGACAGTGTTGCTTTCATGACTCCATAACGCCTTCAAAAGTGCTAGACAGATTTGAATATTCATTACAAAATAACCTAAATGAATTTTTAGACAAGCTGTTGTTATAAAGAACTTGTTGTGAAGAACCTTAGAAGAAACACTGTTCATTCAATGAAAAGTTGATGGACGGTCAAATTGAAAATCATCAAACCAGTGATGTCATCTGATGGTATTAATTTCCAATGAAGACAAATAGAAAGATAATAACAATAATAATAATAACAATAATCATAATAATCTAGGCTGACTTGCTCACTGGTATTCTACAATGAATGAATTATTAATTATTACAGTATTACTGATCTTATGACCCTCTGTGTTCCAGGTCACCTGTACCAGACATTATGACGACGGGCCCGTCGGCACGGTACCGTCCCACCTGGGACCTGGCCCTGGACCCCCTGATGTCCTGCAAGCTGTGCCTTGGGGAGTTCCCCTGCGAGCAGATGACCACCATCAGCCAGTGCCAATGTGTCTTCTGCAGCCTGGTCAGTAGATACAACCAACACACCTGAATGGGTCATGTTCATTAGGCACAAAATGGAAGAAAACAGACGGAATCACACTCTTACTTACTTACTTTATTGTCCCCATGGGGAAATGTTGTTGCAGTGTCATGTACACATTTAAAGTGGCGTTAAATACAAAACAAGATTGACAATACAACTTTCAATAACAGTCACGCACCAATAAAAGTAGGAAATAAGAAATAAAACATTTAAAACATTTAAAACAAAGACTAGCCTGCTGGCCTTACGGGGTCAATGAGAATATTTGCCCGAGCTATTTAAGAGGGATATCACACCTGGCACAAATGATTGTCTCGTTCTATTTTTCCTGCTGAGGGGTGCCCTATACCTACGCCCAGAGGGGAGTAATTCAAAGTCCAAGTACAGGGGGTGACTTGGGTCTAAAATGATTTTGTGAGCCTTACGGAGGGCCCTGACCTTAAAGATCTCATCCAGGCCTGTCTGTTTGACTCCAAGTACCTTACTTGCTGTGGTAATAATCCTTCTCAGCATGTTTCTCTGACTGACAGTGGCATTGCCAAACCAACAAACAATACAAAAAGTTAAAATACTTTCAATAAAGGATTTGTAAAACAGAGTCAATATAGTACAGTCTATATTAAAAGAACCCAACTTTTTTAGAAAGTACAGTCTCTGTTGGCTCTTTTTGTAGATCTGGTCTGTACATTTACTCCACTCTTCACCAAGCACAGATCTACTTAAGTCAGTAGCAGTATTGAATTGATCATTTCTATTCACATTAATATATAAAAGTGGTTAGAACAGAACAGGGAAGGAAGAGGAATTTTTAAGCATTTTTAAGCTATTAAACAGATAGAGTACATGGCTTTATTAAGACGGTTGTGTTAATTAAGTACCAAACAGAAAACAGAGTGAAACAGGGAGGGACTACCTGAACTTGTCCAGTAGGAAATGCACGTTTTCGTGTTCTGTTGCAAAACGTTTTGCTACGGTGTGCCTTAATGAATAAGACAGAAAGTGAAAATGTTTATTTTATTTTATTGGATACTTCTAGGTAGTCCCTCCCCGTTTCAGTCTGTTTTCTTTCGTTTGGTGCCTAATGAACTCAACCCAGTCTTAATGTATCCTGATATAGCCATGTACTCTGACTGTGCACTTTCCCCTAGTACTCCTACACTTGAAAGGAAGTGTGCCTACTTAAGTAGAGCTGCACTTAGTGAAGAGTGTGATTGAGAACAGGACAGCACTCAGCAGTGCTGAACATACTGTACTATAGGGCTCTGGTCAAAAGTAGTGCACTATAAAATGAATAGGGTGCCATTTGGAACACAGACCTATTCTGATGCGGAGGAGCAGCTTGGACTGTGATGATGTAACTGCCCTGTTCTTGTTCCTCCTAAGTGAGAGTGTGACTAGTTAAGAGTGGACGTCAACATTATGTAACGTCTGCCTGCCTGTGTCATCATGTAGGCTGAAAGCTAAACTAGAGAACTGGGCTAAGTCCTGTTCTGTTCTGTTCTGTCATGTACTGTGCTGTTCTGTCCTGTACTGTGCTGTTCAGTCCTGTGCTGTCCTGTGCTGTTCTGTACTGTGCTGTTCTGTCCTGTGCTGTCCTGTCCTGGACTGTTCTGTTCTGTGCTGTCCTGTCCTGTCCTGTGCTGTCCTGTCCTGTCCTGTCCTGTCCTGTCCTGTCCTGTCCTGTCCTGTCCTGTCCTGTCCTGTTCTGTTCTGTACTGTGCTGTCCTGTGCTGTTCTGTTCTGTGCTGTTCTGTCCTGTGCTGTTCTGTACTGTGCTGTTCTGTCCTGTCCTGTGCTGTCCTGTCCTGGACTGTTCTGTTCTGTGCTGTCCTGTCCTGTCCTGTCCTGTGCTGTCCTGTCCTGTCCTGTCCTGTCCTGTCCTGTCCTGTCCTGTCCTGTCCTGTCCTGTCCTGTGCTGTTCTGTGCTGTGCTGTCCTGTCCTGTCCTGTTCTGTGCTGTGCTGTTCTGTACTCTCTGTGACATAACAGTAGAGAAGGTGTTTCCCCTAGCTATAGCATACTTGATGATAATACTGTTTGCATCCCAAATGGTACCCTATTCCCTTTACATTTACATTTACATTTTAGTCATTTAGCAGACGCTCTTAACCAGAGCGACTTACAGGAGCAATTAGGGTTAAGTGCCTTGCTCAAGGGCACATTAACGTCATTTAGCAGACGCTCTTAGCCAGAGCGACTCACAAATTGGTGCGTTCACCCTATAGCCAGTGGGATAACCACTTTACAATTTGGGGGGGGGGGGGGGGGGGGGTTAGAAGGAATACTTTAGCCTATCCCAGGTATTCCTTAAAGAGGTGGGGTTTCAAATGTCTCCGGAAGGTGGTGAGTGACTCCGCTGTCCTGGCGTCGTGAGGGAGCTTGTTCCACCATTGGGGTGCCAGAGCAGCGAACAGTTTTGACTGGGCTGAGGGGGAGCTGTGCTTCCGCAGAGGAAGGGGAGCCAGCAGGCCAGAGGTGGATGAACGCAATGTCCTCGTTTGGGTGTAGGGACTGATCAGAGCCTGAAGGTACAGGGGTGCCGTTCCCCTCACTGCTCCAAAGGCAAGCACCATGGTCTTGTAGCGGATGCGAGCTTCAATTGGAAGCCAGTGGAGTGTGCGGAGGAGGGGGGTGACGTGAGAGAACTTGGGAAGGTTGAACACCAGACGGGCTGCGGCATTCTGGATGAGTTGTAGGGGTTTAATGGCACAGGCAGGGAGCCCAGCCAACAGCGAGTTGCAGTAGTCCAGACGGGAGATGACAAGTGCCTGGACCAGGACCTGCGCCGCTTCCTGTGTAAGGCAGGGTCGCACTCTCCGAATGTTGTAGAGCATGAACCTGCAGGAGCGGGTCACCGCCTTGATGTTGGCGGAGAACGACAGGGTGTTGTCCAGGGTCACGCCTAGGCTCTTCGCACTCTGGGAGGAGGACACAGCGGAGTTGTCTACCGTGATGGCGAGATCATGGAACGGGCAGTCCTTCCCGGGGAGGAAGAGCAGCTCCGTCTTGCCAGGGTTCAGCTTGAGGTGGTGATCCGTCATCCATACTGATATGTCTGCCAGACATGCAGAGATGCGATTCGCCACCTGGTGATCAGAAGGGGGAAAGGAGAAGATTAGTTGTGTATCGTCAGCGTAGCAATGATAGGAAAGGCCATGTGAGGATATGACAGAGCCAAGTGACTTGGTGTATAGGGAGAAAAGGAGAGGGCCCAAAACCGATCCCTGGGGGACACCAGTGGTGAGAGCACGTGGTGCGGAGACAGCTTCCCGCCACGCCACTTGGTAGGAGCGACCGGTCAGGTAGGACGCAATCCAGGAGTGAGCCGCGCCGGAGATGCCCATTTCGGAGAGGGTGGAGAGGAGGATCTGATGGTTCACAGTATCAAAGGCAGCAGACAGATCTAGAAGGACAAGAGCAGAGGAGAGAGAGTTAGCTTTAGCAGTGCGGAGAGTCTCTGTGACACAGAGAAGAGCAGTCTCAGTTGAATGACCAGTCCTGAAACCTGATTGGTTTGGATCAAGAAGGTCATTCTGAGAGAGATAGCAAGAGAGTTGGCTAAAGACGGCACGCTCAATAGTTTTTGGAAAGAAAAGAAAGAAGGGATACTGGTCTGTAGTTGTTGACATCAGTGGGGTCGAGTGTTGGTTTTTTGAGAAGGGGAGTAACTCTCGCTCTCTTGAAGACGGAAGGGACATGGCCAGCGGTCAAGGATGAGTTGATCAGCGAGGTGAGGTAGGGGAGAAGGTCACCGGAGATGGTCTGGAGAAGGGAGGAGGGGATGGGGTCAAGCGGGCAGGTTGTTGGGCGGCCTGCAGTCACAAGTCGCAGGATCTTATCTGGAGAGAGAGGGGAGAAAGAAGTCAAAGCATAGGGTAGGGCAGTGTGAGCAGGACCAGCAGTGTCATTAGGCTTAACAAACAAGGATCGGATGTCGTCAACCTTCTTTTCAAAGTGGTTGACGAAGTCATCCACAGAGAGAGAGGAGGGGGGGAGGGGGGGGGGGGAGGATTCAGGAGGGAGGAAAATGTGGCAAAGAGCTTCCTAGGGTTAGAGGCAGATGCTTGGAATTTAGAGTGGTAGAAGGTGGCCTTAGCAGCAGAAACAGATGAAGAAAATGTAGAGAGGAGGGAGTGAAAAGATGCCAGGTCGGCAGGGAATTTAGTTTTCTTCCATTTCCGCTCCGCTGCCCGGAGCTCTGTTCTGTGAGCTCGCAATGAGTCATCAAGCCACGGAGCTGGAGGGGAGGACCGAGCCGGCCGTGAGGATAGGGGACACAGAGAGTCAAAGGATGCAGAAAGGGAGGAGAGGAGGGTTGAGGAGGCAGAATCAGGAGATTGGAGGGAGAAGGATTGAGCAGAGGGAAGAGATGATAGGATGGAAGAGGAGAGAGTAGTGGGAGAGAGAGAGCGAAGGTTGCGGCGGCGCATTACCATCTGTGTAGGGGCGGAGTGAGTAGTGTGGGAGGAGAGTGAGAGAGAAAAGGAAACAAAGTAGTGGTCGGAGACTTGGAGGGGAGTTGCAGTGAGATTAGTAGAGGAGCAGCATCTAGTGAAGATGAGGTCAAGCGTATTGCCTGCCTTGTGAGTAGGGGGGGACGGTGAGAGGGTGAGGTCAAAAGAGGAGAGGAGTGGAAAGAAGGAGGCAGAGAGAAATGAGTCAAATGTGGACATAGGGAGGTTGAAATCCCCCAAAACTGTGAGGGGTGAGCCATCCTCAGGGAAGGAACTTATCAAGGCGTCAAGCTCATTGATGAACTCTCCAAGGGAACCTGGAGGGCGATAGATGACAAGGATATTAAGCTTAAATGGGCTAGTGACTGTGACAGCATGGAATTCAAATGAGGAGATAGACAGATGGGTTAGGGGAAAAATTGAGAATGTCCACTTGGGAGAGATGAGGATTCCTGTACCACCACCCCTCTGACCAGATGCTCTCGGGGTATGCGAGAACACATGGTCAGACGAGGAGAGAGCAGTAGGAGTAGCGGTGTTTTCAGTGGTGATCCATGTTTCCGTCAGCGCCAGGAAGTCGAGGGACTGGAGGTTGGCATAGGCTGGGATGAAGTCAGCTTTGTTGGCAGCAGAACGGCAGTTCCAGAGGCTGCCTGCGACCTGGAACTCCACGTGGGTGGTGCGTGCAGGGACCACCAAATTGGAGAGGCAGCAGCCACGCGGTGTGGTGCGTTTGTGTAGCCTGTGCAGAGAGGAGAGAACAGGGATAGGCAGAGGCATAGTTGACAGGCTGTAGCAAATGGCTACAAAAATGCAGAGGAGATCGGAATGAAATGTGCACCCTTTAGAGTGCACTACTTTGCTCTGGTCAAAAGTAGTGCACTATATTGGGGATAAGGTGCAATTTGGGACGCACACACTATCCATTGTATTTTATAATCCTTTGCTTCTCCCTTGCAGTGCCTGAAGCAGTATGTGGAACTTCTGATCAAAGAGGGCCTCGAAACCGCTATTAGCTGCCCAGACTCTGCCTGCCCAAAACAAGGTCACCTGCTAGAGAACGAGGTAAAGTAAAGTAGTCCTACCAGGCTTCCTATTGAACTCACTGGCCTGTTCCAAATGGCACCCTATTCCCTATGTAGTGCACTACTTTTGACCAGGGCCTATAAGTAGGGAATAGGGTGCCATTTGAGATGCTGCCACTGAGATCTCCAAGTACTGTAGCTATTTGACTCTATTCCCATTCAACCTGGATGTGTCTTCAACAGATCAGGAGTGCAACAAGCAGGGTGATGAGAGACTTAACCAATATCTGTGTATGTCTCTACGTATGTCTCTCTCTTGCAGATTGAATGCATGGTGGCAGCAGGGAGCATGCAGAGGTATAGGAGGCTGCAGTTTGAGAGAGGTGCGTACAGGCAACTTCCTTGACCTCCAACCCCTGACACTGTCGCTGGGTCACAAGCTATGGTAGTGGAGAGGGCGAGTCATCAATGTGACTCCCTCTTTCCTCCACTGTAAACCTATCTTAACCTCTCAAAACATTATATAAGACTCTCAGAGAGAAGAGACAGAGTGGACACCGGACGGGTCACAGCCCTGATCACTAACCCAGTAACCCTTGAACCTTAACCCTGACACTGACCATTCAGGCTGTAGGAGTAGATAGAAGGGAGACACTGGACTGTTTATGCAGTAATGTGTCTTCTTTCTCCTCTACTTTGAGACCTATCTTAACCTCTGTTCAAATGACATTAGGCTCTCCAAGAGAAGAAGAGACAGAGTGGAAGGCTGGGAGCGTTTTCTCTCCAGCTTAACTAATCAAATTCAGTTTCATTGGATTTGTGTAGGATTTAATTGGCAACCTCTTCAGAAAAACAATCCCAAGACATCTGGCTCATGGATAATGAGAACTTTGTAATTTTAGTCGATACACACACACACACACACACACAGCAGTTGTTGTTATATGTCCTGTACTGGATGAGTGAGGCTTTTATTTTGACTCCTGACCACCGAATAGTTCAAGAAGATTAGCATAATCGTGATGAGAGGGAGATCAAGCCAGGACACAGAATCATACTGTATCTCAGAATAGCTTTTATTGAGATGCCAAAGATGGAGAAGTGAAAATGGCTTCAAAAGTTGTGCTAGTAGTCTTGTTCTAAATCAAATCAAATCACATTTTATTTGTCACATGCGCCGAATACAACAGGTATAGACCTTACCTTGAAATGCTTACTTACAAGCCCTTAACCAACAATGCAGTTTTAAGAAAATAGAGTTAAGAAAATATTTACTAAATCAACTAAAGTTTAAAAAAAAAAATGAAAAAAAAGTAACACAATAAAATAACAATAATGAGGCTATATACAAGGGGTACTGGTACCGAGTCAATGTGCGGGGGTACAGGTTAGTCGAGGTAATTTGTACATGTTGGTAGGGGTAAACTGACTATGCATAGATAATAAACAGTGAGTAGCAGCAGTGTAATGCAAATAGTCCAGGTAGCCATTTGATTAATTGTTCAGGAGTCTTATGGCTTGGGGGTAGAAGCTCCGGTACCGCTTGCCGTGCGGTAGCAGAGACAACAGTCTATGACTTGGGTGACTGGAGTCTTTGACAATTTTTTGGGCCTTCCTCTGACACCGCCTGGTATATAGGTCCTGGATGGCAGGCAGCTTGGCCCCTGTGATGTACTGGGCCGTACGCACTACCCTCTGTAGCACCTTACGGTCGGATGCCGAGCAGTTGCCATACCAGGCTGTGATGCAACCGGTCAGGATGCTCTCGATGGTGCAGCTGTATAACTTTTTGAGGATCTGGGGACCCATGCCAAATCTTTTCAGTCTCCTGAGCGGGAAAAGGCGTTGTTGTGACCTCTTCTTTACTTTCTTGGTGTGTTTGGACCATGATAGTTTGTTGGTGACGTGGACACCAAGGATCTTGAAACTCTCGACCCACTCCACTACAGCCCCGTCGATGTAAATGGGGGCGTGTTCGGCCCTCCTTTTCCTGTAGTCCTCGATCATCTCCTTTGTCTTGCTCACGTTGAGGGTGAGGTTGTTGTCCTGGCACCACACTGCCAGGTCTCTGACCTCCTCCCTATAGGCTGTCTCATCTTTGTCGGTGATCAGGCCAACCACCGTTGTGTCGTCAGCAAACTTAATGATGGTGTTGGAGTCGTGCTTGGCCACGCAGTCATGGGTGAACAGGGGGTACAGGATGGGACTAAGCACACACCCCTGAGGGGCCCCCGTGTTGAGGATCAGCGTGGCAGGTGTATTTTTGCCTTCCCTTACCACCTGTGGGCGACCCGTGAGGAAGTCCAGGATCCAGTTGCAGAGGGAGGTGTTTAGTCCCAGGGTCCTTAGCTTAGTGATGAGCTTTGTGGGCACTATGGTGTTGAACGCTGAGCTGTAGTTAATGAACAGCATTCTCACATACAGTGGGGAGAACAAGTATTTGATACACTGCCGATTTTGCAGGTTTTCCTACTTACAAAGCATGTAGAGGTCTGTCATTTTTATCATAGGTACACTTCAACTATGAGAGACTGAATCTAAAACAAAAATCCAGAAAATCACATTGTATGATTTTTAAGTAATTAATTTGCATTTTATTGCATGACATAAGTATTTGATCACCTACCAACCAGTAAGAATTCCGGCTCTCACAGACCTGTTAGTTTTTCTTTAAGAAGCCCTCCTGTTCTCCACTCATTACCTGTATTAACTGCACCTGTTTTAACTCGGTACCTGTATAAAAGACACCTGTCCACACACTCAATCAAACAGACTCCAACCTCTCCACAATGGCCAAGACCAGAGAGCTGTGTAAGGACATCAGGGATAAAATTGTAGACCTGCACAAGGCTGGGATGGGCTACAGGACAATAGGCAAGCAGCTTGGTGAGAAGGCAACAACTGTTGGCGCAATTATTAGAAAATTGAAGAAGTTCAAGATGACGGCCCTCGGTCTGGGGCTCCATGCAAGATCTCACCTCGTGGGGCATCAATGATCATGAGGAAGGTGAGGGAACAGCCCAGAACTACACGGCAGGACCTGGTCAATGACCTGAAGAGAGCTGGGACCACAGTCTCAAAGAAAACCATTAGTAACACACTACGCCGTCATGGATTAAAATCCTGCAGCGCACGCAAGGTCCCCCTGCTCAAGCCAGCACATGTCCAGGCCCGTCTGAAGTTTGCCAATGACCATCTGGATGATCCAGAGGAGGAATGGGAGAAGGTCATGTGGTCTGATGAGACAAAAATAGAGCTTTTTGGTCTAAACTCCACTCGCCGTGTTTGGAGGAAGAAGAAGGATGAGTACAACCCCAAGAACACCATCCCAACCGTGAAGCATGGAGGTGGAAACATCATTCTTTGGGGATGCTTTTCTGCAAAGGGGACAGGACGACTGCACCGTATTGAGGGGAGGATGGATGGGGCCATGTATCGCGAGATCTTGGCCAACAACCCCCTTCCCTCAGTAAGAGCATTTAAGATGGGTCGTGGCTGGGTCTTCCAGCATGACCACGACCCGAAACACACAGCCAGGGCAACTAAGGAGTGGCTCCATAAGAAGCATCTCAAGGTCCTGGAGTGGCCTAGCCTTTCTCCAGACCTGAACCCAATAGAAAATCTTTGGAGGGAGCTGAAAGTCCGTATTGCCTAGCGACAGCCCCGAAACCTGAAGGATCTGGAGAAGGTCTGTATGGAGGAGTGGGCCAAAATCCCTGCTGCAGTGTGTGCAAACCTGGTCAAGAACTACAGGAAACGTATGATTCCGTCTCTCACAGTTGAAGTGTACCTATGATGAAAATTACAGACCTCTACATGCTTTGTAAGTAGGAAAACCTGCAAAATCGGCAGTGTATCAAATACTTGTTCTCCCCACTGTAGGTGTTCCTTTTGTCCAGGTGGGAAAGGGCAGTGTGGAGTGCGATTGTGATTGCGTCATCTGTGGATCTGTTTGGGCGGTATGCGAATTGAAGTGGGTCTAGTGTTTCCTGGATGATGGTGTTGATGTGAGCCATGACCAGCCTTTCAAAGCACTTCATGGCTACCGACATGAGTGCTACGGGGCGGTAGTCATTTAGGCAGGTTACCGTCGCTTTCTTGGGCACAGGGACTATGGTGGTCTGCTTGAAACATGTAGGTATTACACACTCGGTCAGGGAGAGGTTGAAAATGTCAGTGAAGACACTTGCCAGTTGGTCCGCGCATGCTCGGAGTACACATCCTGGTAATCCGCCTGGCCTTGTGAATGTTGACCTGTTTAAAGGTCTTGCTCACATCGGCTACGGAGAGCATGATCACACAGTCGTCCGGAACAGCTGGTGCTGTCATGCATGCTTCATTGTTGTTTGCCTCGACGCGAGCATGAAAGGCATTTAGCCCGTCTGGTAGGCTCGCGTCACTGGGCATCTCCTGACTGGGTTTCCCTTTGTAGTCCGTAATAGTTTGCAAGCCCTGCCACATCCGACTAGCGTCAGGATTCAATCTTAGTCCTGTATTGACGCTTTGCCTGTTTGATGGTTCGTCTGAGGGTATAGCTGGATTTCTTATAAGCGTCCAGATTAGTGTCCCGCTCCTTGAAAGCGGCAGCTCTAGCCTTTAGCTCGATGCAGATGTTGCCTGTAATCCATGGCTTCTGGTTAGGATATGTACGTACGGTCACTGTGGGGATGACGTCGTCGATGCACTTATTGATGAAGCCGGTGACTGAGGTGGTACACTCCTCAATGCCATTGGATGAATCCCAGAACATATTCTGTGCTAGTAAAACAGTCCTGTAGCGTAGCATCCGCGTCATCTGACCACTTCCGTATTGAGCGAGCCACTGGTACTTCCTGCTTTAGTTTTTGCTTGTAAGCAGGAATCAGGAGGATATAATTATAGTCAGATTTGCCAAATAGAGGGCGAGGGAGAGCTTTGTATGTGTCTCTGTGTGTGGAGTAAAGGTGGTCTAGAGTTTTTGTTTTCCTCTGGTTGCACATGTCATGCTGGTAGAAATGAGGTAAAACAGATTTAAGTTTGCCTGCATTAAAGTCCCCAGCCACTAGGAGCACCGTTTCTGGATGAGCATTTTCTTGTTTGCTTATGGCCTTATAAAGCTTGTTGAGTGTGGTCTTAGTGCCAGCGTCGGTTTGTGGTGGTAAATAGACGGCTACGAAAAATATAGATGAAAACTCTCTTGGTAGATAGTGTGGTCTACAGCTTATCATGAGGTACTCTACCTCAGGCGAGCAATACCTCGAGACTACCTTAATATTAGACATTGCGCACCAGCTGTTATTGACAAATAGACACACACCCCCACCCCTCGTCTTACCGGACTTGGCTGTTCTGTCCTGCCGATGCACAGAAAACCCAGCCAACTGTATATTATCCGTGTAGTCGTTCAGCCACGACTCGGTGACACATAAGATATTACAGTTTTGAATGTCCCGTTAATAGGATAGTCTCGAACGGAGCTCATCCAGTTTATTCTCCAGTGATTGCACGTTGGCCAATAGAACGGATGGTAGAGGCAGGTTACCCACTCGCCAACAAATTCTCCCAAGGCACCCTGATCTCCTTCCCCTGAATTTCCTTATTTTCTTCATGTGAATGACGGGGATTTGGGCCTTGTCTGGGAGCAACATTATATCCTTCGCGTCAGACTCATTAAAGAAAAAGTATTAGTCCAGTTTGAGGTGAGTAATCGCTGTTCTGATATCCAGAAGCTATTTTCGGTCATAAGAGACGGTAGCAGCAACATTAGGTACAAAATTAGTTACAAACAATGTGAAAAAACACACAAAATAGCACAATTGGTTATGAGCCCGTAAAACGGCAGCCATCCCCTCCGGCGCCATTCTTCTTCTGCTTGATCTTCTGTTGGGTGTGCCGTTCCCACATGTTCCCCAGTGGAGGTATGAGGTCCCAGCCATAGAAATACAATGACTAGTACGTGATTCCCCATTTTAAGTCAACGTTCCTGTGATGGGTGGACCGGCGGCCGATTTGACTGTACCAATAAGTCTATTTCTATGGTATCAGGCAGCTCTGTCCCTGTGTGATGGGAGGAAAATGGTGGAAAATGGACTGAAACAGGGAGGGACTACCTGAACTCATCCAATAAGAAATACATATTTTAGTTTTCCACTGCAAAACGTTTTGTTACAATGTGCTGTAATGAATACGACCCTGTCCCTGTGTTTGTTCTACAGAGGTATTGCTGGACCCGTGTCGGACCTGGTGCCCGTCCTCGTCATGCCAGGCAGTGTGCCAACTGAAAGAGGGGGAAGTGGCGCTGCCACAGCTGGTCCAGTGCTCCGTGTGCAGGCTGGAGTTCTGCTCGGTATGCCGGGCCAGCTGGCATAAAGGACAGGCCTGCCAGGACAACATGCCCATCATCACCTTCCTACCCGGGGAGACCAGGTAGGCTACTACATTACTACTACTACTACTACTACTACCACCACTACAAACATACCTACAACACACCTACTACATTACTACTACTACTACCACCACTACAAACATACCTACAACACTACTACTACAACACACCTACTACATTACTACTACTACTACCACCACTACAAACATACCTACAACACACCTACTACTACTACCACCACTACAAACATACCTACAACACTACTACTACAACACACCTACTACTACTAACCTACTGTACACTATCACACCTTCCTACCAGGTCGGCTTCAACACTGGATAACACAACACTCCTACTGTAGGCTACACTATCATCATACTGATACACAAACTCTGTCTCACAATAGTATAATAATACTCTTAGCTAAAATGTTTCTTAATTTACAATCTGTAGAAACTATGAGAATAGAAAGGTTTAGAACTTTTGTGAAACATCACAGCACAGTGGGAAAATATGGATGGTCTTCAGCCATAGATGGTAGTGGTTGAGGGTAGCTAAAGGATGGGGAAAATATATATGGGGGATTGGAAGCCACAATCTATCTGCAATATTAAAGCTGATATACCCCCCCCCCCCCCAAAAAAAAAGGTACTCTGTCACAATAACACTCAGGACTACACACCAGGGTAGGGTTCAGCAGGGACCAGGGTAGGGTTCAGCAGGGACCAGGGTAGGGTTCAGTAGGGACCAGGGTAGGGTTCAGTAGGGACCAGGGTAGGGTTCGGGAGGGACCAGAGTAGGGTTCAGGAGGGACCAGAGTAGGGTTCAGCAGGGACCAGGTTAGGGTTCAGCAGGGACCAGGATAGGGACCAGGGTAGGGTTCAGTAGGGACCAGGGTAGGGTTCAGTAGGGACCAGGGTAGGGTTCACTAGGGACCAGGGTAGGGATCAGTAGGGACCAGGTTAGGGTTCACTAGGGACCAGAGTAGAGTTCAGTAGGGACCAGAGTAGAGTTCAGTAGGGACCAGAGTAGAGTTCAGTAGGGACCAGGGTAGGGTTCGATAGGGACCAGGGTAGGGTTCAGTAGGGACCAGGGTAGGGTTCAGTAGGGTTCAGGGTAGGGTTCGATAGGGACCAGGGTAGAGTTCGATAGGGACCAGGGTAGAGTTCAGTAGGGACCAGGGTAGGGTTCAGTAGGGACCAGGGTAGGGTTCAGTAGGGATCAGGGTAGGGTTCGATAGGGACCAGGGTAGAGTTCGATAGGGACCAGGGTAGAGTTCAGTAGGGACCTGGGTAGGGTTCGGTAGGGATCAGGGTAGGGTTCGGTAGGGACCAGGGTAGGGTTCGATAGGGACCAGGGTAGGGTTCGATAGGGACCAGGGTAGGGTTCAGTAGGGACCCGGGTAGGGTTCAGTAGGGAAGAAACACAACACAGCCCAATATAGAGTCAATGACGGAGTGATGTCTAGCTGTTAGATTCACTCTTATTATCCCTGACAGTGCAGTATGTACTGGTCTATCTATGCCCTATCCCCTGACGTTCATTGTCTTTCAGTTCCTTCTACAAGAGCGATGATGACGACGCGCCCATCAAGCGCTGTCCCAAGTGTAAGGTGTACATCGAGAGGGATGAGGGCTGTGCTCAGATGATGTGCAAGAACTGTAAGCACGCCTTCTGCTGGTACTGCCTGGAGTCTCTAGACGTGAGTAGAACACATAAACACTGAACACAAACACACCCTTCTGCTGGTACTGCCTGAGCCTGCCATAGCGATACAGTCTAATACTCTAATACTCTAGTGTTCTATTGAATTGTGTGGAACCTGCACATAGTGACCAAATAACAGAGCTTGTAAAACAGATGATGCCACTGCCACATAAACTCAGTGGCCAGTTTCACAAAAAAAGTTTACTTCTACAGACATTGAATGACGTGTACCGTGGCTTGCGATATAAAGCAGGCAGACAGGCATCGAGGCATTCAGTTTTTGTTCGATTGAACGTTAGAATGTGCAAAACGAGTGACCTAAGCAACTTTGAGCGTGGTATGACTGTCAGTGCCAGGCGCGGAAAACCATTGCCAGGTCCGACGAATCCCGGTTCCTGTTGCGTCATGCTGATGGCAGAGTCAAGATTTGGCATAGGCAGAATGAGTCCATGGCCCCATCCTGCCTGGTGTCAACGGTACAGGCTGGTGGGGGTGGTGTAATGGAGTGGCAAATGTTTTCCTGGCACACGTTAGGTCCCTTGATATGAACCTCTGCTGCAGAGAATAAGTTCATTAGAGTTAACAGCCTCAGAAATTGCAGCCCAAATGCTTCACAGAGTTCAAGTAACAGACAGATTTCAACATCAACTGTTCAGAGGGGACTGTGTGAATCAGGCCTTCATGGTTGAATTACTGCAAAGAAACCACTACTAAAGGACACCAATAAGAAGAAGAGACTTGCTTGGGCCAAGAAACACGAGCAATGGACATTAGACCGGTGGAAATATGTCCTTTTGGTTTGGAGATTTTTGGTTACAACCGCCATGTTTTTGTGAGACGCGGTGTGGGTGAACGGATGATCTCCGCATGTGTGTTTCCCACCGTAAAGCATGGAGGAGGAGGTGTTATGGTGTGGGGCTGCTTTGCTGGTGACACTGTCAGTGATTTATTTAGAATTCAAGGCACACTTAACCAGCATGGCTACCACAGCATTCCGCAGCAATACGCCATCCCATCTGGTTTGGGCTTAGTGGGACTATCATTTGTTTTTCAACAGGACAATGACCCAACACACCTCCAGGTGTGTAAGGGCTATTTTACCAAGAAGGAGAGTGATGGAGTGCTGCATCAGATGACCTGGCCTCCACAATCCTCCGACCTCAACCCAATTGAGATGGTTTGGGATGTGTCTGACGGCAGAATGAAGGAAAAGCAGCCAACAAGTGCTCAGCATATGTGGAAACTCCTTCAAGACTGTTGGAAAAGCATTCCAGATGAAGCTGGTTGAAATAATGCCAAGAGTGTGCAAAGCTGTCATCAAGGCAAAGGCTGGCTATTTGAAGAATCTCAAATATTTGTTTAACACTTTTTTTGGTTATTACATGATTCCATATGTGTTATGATGTCTTCACTATTATTCTACAATGTAAAAAATTGTAAAAATAAAGGAAAACGCTCTGAGTAGGTGTGTCAACTTTTGACTGGTACTGTACATCCATTTCAACAAATATTAATGACATCACACTTGCTCAGACCCACATGTTCCCAATGTATCCACACATAATGTTGTTTCAAATGCTTGTAAGACTTTGCCCGATATGAATATAAATATGTTTTATATTGTTTCTAACATGACTCAGCGGCTCCTTGGGACTCAGGATAAGACCCAGATGCAGACACAGGAGGCAGACAGTTAGAATATCAGATTTTTATTACAAGACAGGAAGGCAATCGGCAGGTCAAGGGCAGTCAGAGGTCCGTAGTCCAAGGCAGCGTGAATAAGGGACAGAACGACAGGCAGGCTCAGGGTCAGGAGACAGGAGGGCTGCGAGACAGAGGTTTAATCCTAGACACATGAAAAATGGGATGTATACTGAGGGTGCGGGGAAACAGAAGACGAACAGCAGAGGGGCTAATGATCTTGGAGATGGGGAAAGGGCCGATAAAACGGGGGGAAAGTTTACGGGACTCCACCCGGAGGGGCAGATCCCGAGTGGACAGCCATACCCTCTAACCGAGACGATAGCGGGGAGCAGGGGTCCGGTGGTGGTCCGCCTGTCTCCGATACCTGGAGGTGGTCTTGAGAAGAGCGGACCGGGCTTTCTTCCAGGTGCGGCGACAGCGGTGGACGAACATCTGGGCCGAGAGTATGCTGACATCTTCCTCTTGCTCAGGGAAGAGCGGGGGCTGATATCCCATGGAACACTCGAAAGGTGAGAGACCAGAGGCCGAGCAGGGAAGGGTGTTGCGGGCATATTCCACTCACACGAGTTGCTGGCTCCAGGTGGTGGGGTTGGCGGAGACGAGGCAACAAAGAGCCGTCTCCAGGTCCTGGTTGACTCGCTCTGACTGGCCATTAGACTGGGGGTGAAATCCGGAGGACAAGCTGGCCGCGACCCAATGAGGGTGCAGAACGCCTTCCAGAACCGGAATGAGAACTGAGGACCACGATCGGAGACCATGTCCACCGGAAGTACATGGATCCAGAAGACGTTCTGCACCATGAGCTGGGCCTTCTCATTGGCTGAGGGTAACTTGGGAAGGAGAATGAAATGGGCTGCTTTGGAAAACCTGTCCACCACTGTAAGGATAGTGGTGTTGCCATCTGATGGAGGGAGACCTGTGACGAAGCCCAGGGATATGTGGGACCAGGGGCGTTGAGGAACAGGGAGTGGTTGAAGAAGGCCAGCCAGAGCTTGCCACGGAGTCTTATTCTGAGCATGCACAGTGCAGGCGTCGACGAACGTGGAGATGTCAGGAACCATGGTGGGCCACCAGAAACGTTGTCATACAACGGCCAGGGTCCAACGGGAGCCAGGATAGCAGGCATGTCTGGAGGAATGAGCCCATTCCAGGACCGGGGAAAGGACAGAGTCTGGGACAAACATTCGGGTCCGGCTGGGAGCGCTGCGCTTCACGGACCTGGTTCTCTATACCCCAGATGAGGGCAGCCGCTAGACAAGAGGTAGGGAGGATGGCCTCGGGGTCCGACGGTGTAGCAGCGGGACTATAGAGACATGAGAGCGCAACCGGCTTCACATTCTTGGACCCCGGGCGGTAGGAGATGGTAATGTTGAACCACCATCTTCACCGCGAGTAGTTCTCGATTTCCCACGTCATAGTTCCTCTCAGCAGAAAGAGCAGGGATGCAGCTTTTGGTCCTGGACAGAACGCTGGGACAGGACGGCCCCCACTCCGATGTCCGAGGCGTCAACCTCCACCACGAACTGACAGGACGGGTCCGGATGGATTAGGATGGGGGCTGTGGTAAAACGGTGCTTCAGATCCAGAAACGCCCGGTCAGCAACTGGGGACCACATGAACGGAACCTTGGGAGAGGTGAGTGCAGAGAGGGGGGAAGCCAGGGTGCTGTAACCCCGGATGAAACGGCGGTAGAAATTAGCAAACCCCAGGAAGCGTTGCAGCTGCACTCTGGATGTGGGTTGAGGCCAATTCACCACCACGCTCACCTTGCCAGGATCCATCTGCATGTTACCTGCAGCGATGATGTATCCTAGGAAGGAGATGGTGGAGCGATGGAATTCGCATTTCTCAGCTTTAACAAAAAGCTGGTTTTCCAGGACTTGTCGGACGTGGAGGACATGTTCTTGAGCTGAGCGGGAAAAACAAGGATGTTACCAACATAATGGAGAACATTGTTAACCAGAGCCTGGAACACTGCAGGGGAGTTGGTCAGTCCGAATGGCATCACCAGGTACTCATAGTGCCTGCTAGCCGTGTTAAAGGCTGTCTTCCACTCGTCTCCTTCCCGTATCTGCACCAGATGGTATGCGTTTCGAAGGTCCAACTTAGAGAAGATTGTAGCCCCCGGGAGAGGCTCGAAAGCCAAGGCGAGGAGTGGTAGCGGGTAACGTTTTTTTAACCTTGATGTCATTCAGGTGCCGGTAGTCGATTCACGGGCGCAGGGTTTTTTCTTTCTTTTCCACAAAGAATAGCCCTGCGCTGGCGGGGGAGGCAGAAGGACGGATACACCCTGCAGCCAGGGAGTCCTCAATGTACCTTTCCATCGCCTTGGTTTCCGGACCCGACAGGGAATAAAGCCGCCCCCGAGGTGGTGTAGTGCCCAGGAGAAGGTCGATAGCGCGGTCGTAAGGCCGATGCGGAGGAAGCGATGTGGCACGGGCCTTGATGAAAACCTCCCGGAGGTCCTGGTACTCCACGGGAACGGTGGAGAGGTTTGAGTCTTCTCCCAAGCCTGCAGGAAGACGTCCCGGGGCAGGCTGCGCCGACTTCAGGCAATGAGCATGGCAGAATGGGCTCCAACCCTTGAAAGAACCTCCAGTCCAGTCGATAAGGGGATTGTTCCTCTGGAGCCATGAAAACCATGGGTACCTGAGGAGACTCGATGAGCAGAAATTGCATAGACTCACTGTGGTTACCTGACACTCGCAGGTTGATAGGAACCGTATTATGGGTGACTTTACCAATAGAGCGCTCTGACATCCTTGGGAATGGAGAGGGGTGGAGTGGGGATTCCCAGCTCTGACACCAGGGTAGTGTCCATAAAACTCTTGTCGGCCCCAGAGTCAATGAGTACCCAGAGATATTTAGACCGGTCACCCCACAGCAGCATGGCATGGAGAGGGGTACGAGTAATGGGAGATTGGGCATTCTCCGTATGGCCCACCAGCGTACTCGTACCTACTGATGAGCCTGGTCTTTTAATGGACAGGTAGAAATGTAATGGCCTGTAGTCCCACAATACAGACAGATCTTGGTGTTCAGTCTGCGTAAACGTTGGGCAGGAGACAATCTAGCTCTGCCAAGTTGCATAGGCACCGGAGGAGGCGAGTCAGCAGACCTAGGTGATTCCCGGGGGAAACCTCGGATTCTCTCGGTAATGTAGACGCCGGGTACTTCCGGGATTCCTCGGAGGCGAGGTGGGATCCTTGGATGAGCGAGTGTGACTGGGAACAGACCTCCTCTCCCTCCTACGTTCCCGTAGCCGCTCATTGATCCGTATGGTCAAGGCGATGAGAGAGTCGAGATCTATGGGCAGCTCCCGGGCTGCGAGCTCGTCTTTAACCACCTCCGATAATCCATGAAGGAACATGTCGAACAGGGATTCCGGGTTCCAGGCACTATCGGCGGCCAACGTGCGGAAATCGACCGCATAGTCTGCCACACTATGGAAGTCTTGATGTAGTAGGAGTAGCTTCCGAGCAGCCTCTCTCCCGGACAACGGAGAATCTAACACCTTTTTCACCTCCGCCATGAACTCCTCCAGACTGAAGCACACGGTGGATTGTTGCTCCGACACCGCCGTAGCCCAGGCGAGAGCCCTCCTGGACATCAGCGTTATAAGGTACGCTATCTTCGAGCGGTCCGAGGTAAAAGAAGAGGGCTGCAGCTCGAAGATGAGGGAGCATTGGGAGAAAAACGCCCGGCAGGTTCCTGGATCTCCAGCGTAGCGCTCCGGAGGAGATAAGCTGGGTTCTCGGGAAGCTGTGTAGGCTGGGGTAGGCTGGGGAGAAGCGCCGCTGGTAGCGGGGTTACGGAGAGTCTGGGGGCTTACTGTTGTGGCCTGCTGCCTGGTAGATAATCCGCAGAATTGCTCCAGCAATGCAGTGAAAGCGTGGTCATGGCGTCCCGCCAAGGTCTGGAGTCCTTCCTTAAGGTTTTGAAGTAACCAATGGCGGCTCCTTGGGAGGAGACAGCGTTGCGGAGCTGGTCCGAGTCTGCTGGGTCAGTCATGGCCAGTTCGTACTATCACGATTCAGGATATGACCCAGATGCAGACACAGGAGGCAGACAGTTCGAATCTCAGATGTTTATTACAAGACAGGAAGGCAATCGGCAGGTCAAGGGCAGGCAGAGGTCTGTAGTCCAAGGCAGTGTGAATAAGGGACAGAACGGCAGGCTCAGGGTCAGGGCAGGCAGAATGGTCAGTTATTCAGGGCAGCGTCAATCAGGGAGATAACGGCAGGCAGGCTCAGGATCAGGGCAGGCAGAATGGTCAGAACCGGGAGGACTAGAAAACAGAAACTAGAGAGACAGTAAAACACGCTGGTAAGACATGGCAAGACAAGACGAACTGGCAACAGACAAACAGAAAACGACGGGATAAATACACAGGGGATAATGGGGAAAATGCGAGACACCTGATGGGGGGTGGAGACAAGCACAAGACAGGTGAAACAGATCAGGGTGTGACAGTTTCTGTCTGTAGCCAGTTATATTTCAATAATAAAGCATTTGAATTTTCCATGCTCTTAACGTTGGGGTATGATTTGACTTACAGTATTTAAGTAATAGCTTCTTCAATATAAGTGACAAAAATAATATTGTCCAACCCATTGGGTATCTCACCACACCCCTATATGCCATGTCTTGAAATATGCAGATAGACGGATTAAAAGTAAACTTCCATTGTTAAACTTCTGACAGACGGCTTTCTAACGCCGCACATAACTTTTTGTCTTTGTAACATTCCCAGAAGGCATGAATTATTGAGTCATTGTTAGTTTTACACTTAAGACATGACTCTGCCGTTGTGCTGTAGAATTTGTGAATTTTGTCTCTTGTATAATACATTCTATACATTAGTTTATACTGGATTAAACGTACATTTTCATTAACTGTAATTTCTTCATTCTTTTCCAACACTCCATTCATCTTGTGCCAATATCAGTTCAATTGGTTCCAATAGTTAATTATTATAGTTAAGGTTTTTTATATCTTACCTATCAAATGAGTATCTGTTTCTGACTCGAATAGGATTCCCTCAACATTGCTCTGATGTCCCAAAGCTTTCAGGTCAACATTTTGTGATCTAAAACTTGATCAGTCCAAAATTGCTTTTTAATTCTGTCATGGAAATAATTGTATTCAGGCAATTACCACGTCATTTACAGTTTCTATGCTTTTAGTTTTCCATGTGGGCAATTTATCGGTGAATTCTGAATGTATAATTCAATAGATAACAATTTGAACAGAAAGTATCAAAACAAGTCTAATCTTAATGTGTCTTATAAAAACATACATATGATCTTGGCCAGTGTCCATTTTTCTAGTGGACATGCCCCCACATTTAACCCTGACTTTTAAAACATTTAATCCAGGCTTTAACCCTGATAATGATTATTTCTCTCTCTCCAGGATGACTTCCTCCTGATCCACTACGATAAAGGGCCGTGCAGAAACAAACTGGGCCACTCCAGAGCTTCAGTGATATGGCACCGGACACAGGTACTGTATTGCAAAAATATGGCATTAGTTGACTTTAGCTCAGCGGGCTAACAATCTTCTGGCATGCTTAGTGGGCGGCAGGTAGCTTAGTGGTTAAGAGCATTGTGCCAGTAACCGAAAGGTCGCTGGTTCTAATCCCCGAGCCGACGAGGTGAAAAATCTGTCGATGCTGACGCTGGAGTCCCGGTTTCAAACCCAGTCAGGAATGGCATCAAACACATGGTTTGATGCCATTCCAATTAATCCGTTCCAGCCATTATTATGAGCCGTCCTCCCCTAAGAAGCCTCCACTGTCAGAAACACTGTATACGCCAGCCGTCAGTCGCAATGTACATTTATGTTTGAGGAACTACAGCCACCTTGTGGATATTCAGTGTACTACTGCTCGGGCAAATGAAAGATGAAATAATGTTGTGTTGATGCATCTTTGTACTGTACATCACTTCCCTCTTATGTCTATGTGATGACTGGGTTAAAACAAGCACCTCATGAATCCCATGTTACAACTGGTGACATAAAAAGGGCTTAGATACATTTGGTTGATTGTTAATGTGTGTATGTAATAAAATCATTCTCTCGCTCTCCAGGTGGTGGGGATCTTCGCTGGCTTCGGTCTGCTCCTACTGGTGGCCTCTCCCTTCCTTCTCCTAGCCACACCCTTCGTTCTGTGCTGCAAGTGTAAATGCAGTAAAGGAGATGACGATCCTCTGCCCACCTAACCAACCCGCCCTGGGCACAGACAGGGGCACCAGGCCTGTTGATGGACAGGGTGTTCGGTGTTTGGTTAGTCATCCACTCCTTATGGTGTTTTAATCCCACCCACCGGCCCAGAGGACTTTTAGGGATTGGTGGGTTTGTCGCTGGGGCAGCGCAGTGCAAGTGGATGAGGAACATTGACTTTGGGCGGAGCCAGCAAGTTGGGTTGAGAGGACACTCTGAACACTCTGTGGTTTTGTTGTGATGTGTTAAGAAGGACTGGGCCTAAATAGGAGAGGAGAACAGAACACGGCACCAGTCAATGTTGGGCTGGGTTGGTTGTTGCTTCAGAGGACTTATGAGTTGTCAATATGGGATCGGTGGTTATAGCTCTGTCTATGTGTGTCAGGTTAAGGTTATTTTGTCTTGTACAACTGTCTTGGTGCTTGTTTGTGGGACTGCAAATATAATTTAGGTATATTTGGAGGGAGCAGCCTTGGCTATCAGCCACGGAATGTGGAAGTGTCTCCTATAAGGGTAGAGTCTGTGTCCCAAAGGACACCCTATTCCCTATATTGTGCACTATTTCTGAACAGGCCCCATAAGGCTCTGGTCAAAAGTAGTTGGGGGTTATTTACTTACCAACCCCTTCTCCCTCTTAAGCTCTTTAGTTTTCTATAAGAACATAAACAATCAAGGGTCTCGTCAGAGAAAACCATTTTAGATTATCCATTTGTATCATGTAAAACTCTGAGGATTCACAACGTCCCTCCAATATATTTTGAACGTTTTGTTTTCTATTATAGACTTGCTGGGAAAAATTGTCAGGTAGCTTAGTGGTTAAGAGCGTTGTGCCAGTAACCGAAAGGTTGCTGGTTCTAATCCCCGAGCCGACTAGGTGAAAAATCTGTCGATGTGCCCTTGAGCAAGGCACTTAACCCTAATTGCTCCTGTAAGTCGCTCTGGATAAGAGTGTCTGCTAAATGACTAAAATGTAAAAAATGTAAAAGATGAGACTGTTGTTCAACATAACCTACAGGGTGCATGTCTACTATATGCTTGAGGATGTTGTATAATCTACTCAGATTATAAAGAGTCAACTCTACCACCATCTTGAATTTACTGCCCGTTCTCCTGGAGAAAAATATTTGGAAATGTGCAAACTTCCATTGCAACTATTTACCATCGAATAATTTGCTAAAATCGAGAGTGAATGGTGTAACATTGATATCTCAGTATTTCTATCCACACAGAGGAATAAACAGCATACAGGCCGCCCAGATGTAGCAAGCAGGGTTGGAGTCGATTCCATTTCAATTCAATCAATTCAGGAAATGTTCCTCAATGCATCTTTATGAGAAATATTTGGAATTGGAATTTCAGTTTACTTCTTGAATTGACTGAATTGAAAAGGAAATGACCCCAACCCTGGTCGCAAGCGCTAATATCCACCAAATAACCCCTTTTGTAGCAGCTCAACCTCCGTCCGTTATCTTTACTACCAGTGAAACCCCTTTACCCTTTAATGAGTTAAACTAACCTTCTTATATTAGACAATGCACTTGAGTTGATGTAGCCAAGGTGCCACAAAATGCCTTTCAAATCTACTTTGATATGAGTGTGATTGATTCACACTCCCTTTTTACCAAAATGCTCTTATTTGATATTGTACAATTCCAAATATGTTCTGAACACTACTGTTATTTATCCTACAATTTGTTACATGTACTAGCATTCTCCTGTTACTCTCGACACCAGTTATGTTTAGAAAGGCTTCATTGCTTGCATGTTGTATTTTTGTGTATAGAAAAGTATCAGAATAGTAGCTTTAATTCTGTGACATTATGACAGTGTTGTACATTCTTGGTTTTAAAAGTTTAAAAGTATTCTATCACATTGTTTTCTGTATTCAGATATAACCTTGTCCCCAGGTTCAAGTGCTACCACAGAGTGAGAGCCAGCTAGTGGACGAGATTAATACGGATGTATTTCCATGATATGATTTTAATTTTTAAATGTACTGCTTAATTTCTTTTGCTCTGTAATTTCACAGTATTCCATCACAAAACCTGACCAATTGAGTCAGCCTCCAAATATGGGCTCAACACATCCTGGTCCAGTTTTATAGCAGCAATTGGGTCAATACAGCTTAGGGGACTTATCTGTGCCGCGAGGAGGTGTGTGTGTGTGTGTGTGTGTGTGTGTGTGTGTGTGTTGGGGGGAACAGGCTAATAGGCTTATTTCTCATTGGTGGTCAAATTTTTTGAGCCAAATGTAGCCTAAATGATCCTTTAAGATGTCTAGGTCAGGACCACTTGTAGTGTGTGTTCACGGATGTTTTCATTTAATATTTATTTTGTATTTAGGGGGTATTGTGTTAAAAGAATATTGCATTGCACTCAACTAATTATATTTAAACTGTATGAAGAACAACTTTGTTACTGTAGCATTTCTGCACATGAGTTCTGTTATGTTAAATGGATACTTCGGGATTTTGACAATGAGGCCTTTTGTCTACTTCCCCAGAGTCTGATGAACTCGGGGATACCATTTTTACAGTATGTCTCTGCGTGCAGTTTGAAGGAAGTTGCTAACTAGCGCTAGCGCAATTGCTAACTAGCGTTAATGCCATGCATGCTAGCAGATACCATAGACTTCCAGTTATTGCGCTAATGCTAGTTAGCATTGCCAAAATCCCGAAATATCCATTTAAGTTCCTGTTCAGATGTTTACATACTGTACATTTGTTTGTAACACCACGTATTATAGATAAAAAGCACATTTAGCTTGTTCTGGTAGCAGGTATTCTTGATTATGTGCTTTGAGTGAATGAAATCAAATTTTATCTGTCACATGTGCCGAATGCAACAGGTGTGGACTTTACCATGAAATGCTTACTTACAAGCCATTTCCCAACAATGCAGAGTAAAAAAAAAAAGCAAACATTTTTTTTAAAGGTAATAGCAATACAATAAAATAATAACAATAACGAGGCTATATATAAAAAGTACCGGTAACGAGTCAATGTGCAGGGGTAGGAGGTAGTTGAGATAATATGTAGGTAGGGGTAAAAGTGACTAGGCAATCAGGATAGATAATAAACAGAGTAGCAGCAGCGTAAGAGTCTGAAAGAGTGTGAGAGTGTGTGAGAGAGAGTGTAGGGACGGTGGGTGTGTGTGTGTGAGAGAGCGTATGGACGGTGTGTGTGTGTGCATGTGTGTTGGAGTGTTAGTGTAGTGTGTGTGTAGGTAGAGTCCAGTGGGTGTTCATAGAGCCATTGCAACAGAGTCAGTGCAACAAAAAAAAAAGGGGGTCAATGCAAATCATCTGGGTAGATATTTGAGTAACTGTTCAGCAGTCTTATGGCTTGGAGATAGAAGCTGTTCAGGAGCCTTTTGGTTCCAGACTTGGCGCTCCGGTACAAATGCATACAGTGGGGAGAACAAGTATTTGATACACTGCCGATTTTGCAGGTTTTCCTACTTACAAAGCATGTAGAGGTCTGTAATTTTTATCATAGGTACACATCAACTGTGAGAGACGGAATCTAAAACAAAAATCCAGAAAATCACATTGTATGATTTTTAAGTAATTCATTTGCATTTTATTGCATGACATAAGTATTTGATACATCAGAAAAGCAGAACTTAATATTTGGTACAGAAACCTTTGTTTGCAATTACAGAGATCATACGTTTCCTGTAGTTCTTGACCAGATTTGCACACACTGCAGCAGGGATTTTGGCCCACTCCTCCATACAGACCTTCTCCAGATCCTTCAGGTTTCGGGGCTGTCGCTGGGCAATACGGACTTTCAGCTCCCTCCAAAGATTTTCTATTGGGTTCAGGTCTGGAGACTGGCTAGGGCACTCCAGGACCTTGAGATGCTTCTTACGGAGCCACTCCTTAGTTGCCCTGGCTGTGTGTTCCGGGTCGTTGTCATGCTGGAAGACCCAGCCACGACCCATCTTCAATGCTCTTACTGAGGGAAGGAGGTTGTTGGCCCCATCCATCCTCCCCTCAATACGGTGCAGTCGTCCTGTCCCCTTTGCAGAAAAGCATCCCCAAAGAATGATGTTTCCACCTCCATGCTTCACGGTTGGGATGGTGTTCTTGGGGTTGTACTCATCCTTCTTCCTCCAAACACGGCGAGTGGAGTTTAGACCAAAAAGCTCTATTTTTGTCTCATCAGACCACATGACCTTCTCCCATTTCTCCTCTGGATCATCCAGATGGTCATTGGCAAACTTCAGACGGGCCTGGACATGCGCTGGCTTGAGCAGGGGGACCTTGCGTGCGCTGCAGGATTTTAATCCATGACGGCATCGTGTGTTACTAATGGTTTTCTTTGAGACTGTGGTCCCAGCTGTCTTCAGGTCATTGACCAGGTCCTGCCGTGTAGTTCTGGGCTGATCCCTCACCTTCCTCATGATCATTGATGCCCCACGAGGTGAGATCTTGCATGGAGCCCCAGACCGAGGGTGATTGACCGTCATCTTGAACTTCTTCCATTTTCTAATAATTGCGCCAACAGTTGTTGCCTTCTCACCAAGCTGCTTGCCTATTGTCCTGTAGCCCATCCCAGCCTTGTGCTGGTCTACAATTTTATCCCTGATGTCCTTACACAGCTCTCTGGTCTTGGCCATTGTGGAGAGGTTGGAGTCTGTTTGATTGAGTGTGTGGACAGGGGTCTTTTATACAGGTAACAAGTTCAAACAGGTGCAGTTAATACAGGTAATGAGTGGAGAACAGGAGGGCTTCTTAAAGAAAAACGAACAGGTCTGTGAGACCCGGAATTCTTACTGGTTGGTAGGTGATCAAATACTTATGTCATGCAATAAAATGCAAATTAATTATTTAAAAATCATACAATGTGATTTTCTGGATTTTTGTCGTCTCTCACAGTTGAAGTGTACCTATGATAAAAATTACAGACCTCTACATGCTTTGTAAGTAGGAAAACCTGCAAAATCGGCAGTGTATCAAATACTTGTTCTCCCCACTGTAAAGTCACTTACGATGG